ACCTCAAAATTATTATTATCGCTTCTGATGCGGCAATTAAAACTTCAGGTCAGAGGCACAACGAGCGGTGATCAGCAGCCGAGCTGAGAAGTTTTAATTAGACGATCAGAACCATTAATGCACAAAAAAAAGGTGTGCGCTGGGAAATTAACGGGAACGTCTTAATCAGGGTTAGCGACTCCGAAGAGGAGTCAAGTGAACAGAGAGCAAAAAACAAATCATTTCCGCACCACTGGGACAAAACTCAATTAAATATGCATGCAGAAAAATGGAAATTTCTCCGCATCCGCTGCACCGACTGTTAGAGAACTGTGGCAAAATCTCACGGCGGGGTCGGCAACCTGCTTATTGTTATTCTTCTGTAATAAAAAATGAGAGCAGGGCCAGATGCTGGGGTCCGGGTGCAGCCGGGGTGGTTGTCCATCAGTAGCTTTCCGCTCGACTTGCTCGCGGCGGCTGTTCGTGGTTTCCAGGAAAGCGAGAAAAGTGTGTGTGTGTGGGGGGGAACGTTCTCCTCTCGTGAGCTGTGAATTCACACACACACGCAAAAATAATAATAAAAACATTGTCATTTTGCAAGCATGTCTGTGTGTGTTTTCCTGTGCTTTTCCTGAAATACGCAGAGGCGAGCGCACACACCGTCACACGCATCTCCCTTGAGAGGCAGGGACATGAAAGGTTCACTGAGCTACACACTGGGAGCCTTGTCGATTAATCTGCTGAAGGTTCATAAAGTTATAGCTAGACTTTAAAAAAAAAAGCTACTTGAGCTCTCTTGGTCGCATATTGTAAAATAATCCTGAGCTAAACAGACATCTCCCAGACCTTGTTTGTATTAATTAACTTAAGATATTGCAGAGGGGGGTGGTTGGGTTGTCCCCGTGTCAGTCATGTTGGAACCCAGCAGGAATCTACAACGGGGCCTGAATCTGTGTTTGATTAGTTGAAGAGATAAGCTTCGGTTTGAACAGGCAATATCTACCTCTCATATATACAGACCCCCACCTGTGTGCTCGCTTCATACCAACAGAAACTCCGCAGGGAGCTGGTCTGTTTGTGGGGCAGCCTCGTTCCCTGAATGAACAACAAAATCAGGTTATTCCATTTTTCATGTGACGTTCCACAAGTTGATTGCATTCCAGACTGCTTTGGATGTAAGGTGCTGCTGGTAGAGCTGCAACAACGACAGCGACTTGAAAAAAAGTCTTCCCATTTTGTCATGTTGCAGCCCTAAAATCTATTGGATTTTCTCAAGATGTTTTGTGATGGACCAAAGGTGCAACTTCCTGAGTTAATGGCAGAACCACAGTTTGCTGGAAGCACAGGAGTAGGTTTCAAAGTGCTTTCTACTCCTTGAGACTGATTTGATTTTCTCCTATTCTTCTTGGCAAAGTAGTTCAAGTTCACTCTGAACCTACCTTCGCTTGTAACAAACTTCCTTCAAATATTCCTCCGTATTTAACTGCATTCATCTTTAATTCATTTCTGACCAGCTTCCCAGCATCTCCAGACATGATGCTGCCACTGCCATGTTTCACAATGAGGAAGGACTAATTTAGAGATTTCTGAATTGACTTTGTTGCCAGGGATTTTGCTTAAAATGATAAGAGAGCCAGTATTAATCTAAGTCCTGAAATCATATACATTTATTAAAGTTTTGGTTGTAATTTGACAAAATGTGAAAAAATTGAAGGGGTGTGAATACTTTCTGAAATACCTGTACAGTTTGCCTTCTGCACATTTATCTCTGGTCAATGTGACTAAAGTGCAAGCTCACACAAATTATGCCCTCCCTATAGCATCAGTAAGATTTCAACTATTCTGGCACGCGAACAGACATTCTGCATCAGAACCCAAACATACCTGTGGGGCTTGGAGAGCTTTGTAAGAGATAGTTTGTCAGTGCAGGCTGAGAAGAAGCAGCTCTAATGATCCCATTTTTGACCAAAGATATATTTAAAAAAAAAAAGGACCCTGACGTCAAGCGAAAGGATTCAAAAATACCTAAGTTGACTTTTTCTTCGTGTTTTGGCCTTTTACAGACACTACGCGCCTGCTCTTCTTTGTGGTCCTGCTCTGTTTCCAGTAAAAATAATGTCACCGTTAACATAAGCAGCTGGAAAAATTAGTTTCAGCTGTTGTGTTCTAACCTGCCTGTGCTTTTTTTTTTTTCTCCCCAACTCAAAGTGCTTACTGAGGTGTCTCCTCCTTGACAATTAGTACACGAGGCTAAAACAGAGTGTAAATAATGTCCGAGGCGTGTGACAGTGTTGTTTTTCTTTCTGATATTCATTAATAAGGCAGAATGCTTACTGGACTCTCAGAGAGGTGGGAGGATCTGGTCCCAGGGGTAGAAGTTGTTCTTTCATGTAGGTCCCTGCAGATTTTATCTCATTGTACGCTATCATGCACACAAACGACTTGAGGTAAACAGCTTAGAGTTTCCATAGCAATCCTTACTGTAAGCAATGGGGGGGAAAAAGCTGCTGTGGACAGAAACCAAAAGCATAAATAATAGTTCGACCTGCTTTCACAAAGCAGAGCGCAGAGTATTTTATTTGTTTTAAATTGTGTTGCTGGTTTAAGCAGACAAATAATCTGTGGTATCCACTTTTAATGCCAGTTCCATGCTCAGCATGTACTTGTAATCCACTCATGCTTCGCTTTGTAAACAAAAAACTTTACAAAAATAGGTACGAATGGAAAGAAGCCCCTGTTGAGGGGTCACTTCCTACAAGGAGCTTGAGATCGCTGAACAAAGGAAGTCAGTAGTTAAGGCATAATATAAAGAATAAATTACATCCAAAGCAACACCCAAATGACCTCAACCTTCCTCTGGAGTGTATTTCTGGAAAAATATATATATATATATTGTTTTTTTAAATTTATGTCTTCTACTTCCTAATAGTTTTTACATCTGATGCTTTTTCAAATTTCTCGACTTTTAAAAAGCTAACCCCTTCCAAACCCTGGGCCCCTCCCTCCACCTGCAATTGTTTTAACACCAAACTGCTCGGTAATGCATGTCTGATATACGGGGCACAGAAAACTGTGTAACTCCTGAGAGTCATTGTTTCAGAGAGGAAGTCCGCAGTGTAAATACAGTAACTGAGAAAGCATCTGTGGGTAGCGCAGGGTTCATTGTCTGGCAACAGGGGTGATCAGTAAACTGCTTCAAATTGCATATCCTCTAATGATTCCACAGCTTTGCAAAAAGAAAATGAAAACAGGATTTTATGTTGCTCCAATGTGATTTACATAATGCCGACAGGGGGCTCACATGATTATGGTTGGCTTTATGGCGGAGGGGAAAATGAAGAGGCTCATACTCATTGATAGAGAAAGTGGATTGAGTCCGTAAGGTGGAACTTTGTTACCTCAGATATTGCACATTTTTCTATCCCGAAATGACATGTGCTTAAATCAGCACCAAGGACAATGTCTGCTGCGAGTGTCTCCAGACGGCCTTGCAGAAGTCTTAGTTGCCCTCAAACTTCTTCACGGTTTATGATTTTTGCAACCACAGACTTTAATGTATTTAGTTAGATTGTATGTGATAGCGCAACACAAAACAGTGGAAAATTCAGTGATTTTTTTTTCATCTCAAACACCCAAAAAGTGTGGTATGTGTTGTGCCCTTTTAATCTGCTACCTTAAATATTTGCAACCTTTGCCTCAGTAAATGTCATCTCATTTTAAATCTCATAAATCCGACTGTTCTGTGAAGGCCTCAGAAGTTTTCTAGAGAACAAAAATACCATCAGGCATAAGAATATCTGTTCAATTTGTTTTCCTACAAACCATCTGATGGACATAAAACAAACACAGCTGTTGTCAGATGAGACTGAAACTTTTTCCCTATATCTAAAAGACTTGTGTTTGTGGGTGGCAGCATCATGATGTGGGAATGCTTCTTGTAGGATGTTGCTTAGACTTGACAGAAGATGGACAAAGCTAAATTTAGGACAAGTTATGAAAGAGAATCTGGTCCACCTGCCAGTAGAAGAATAGTCCTAAAATGTGACAGTGTGGAAAAAGTGAAGAAGGCACTCAGTGAAAACGGAGCACAGCTTCTAATCTTAAGTCCATATATCATATTAACAATCGTCTGGCTTTCTGAAAAAAATGAAAAATCAACACTGCTTGTTCTGAAAATGCCTTTAGAAAATGAACTTTGGTGGTCCCGTGAATGAAGTGAAAGGTAACAGAGTGCAGTTTCTGCCCTAAAAAGGCAGCTCTGGATATGGAATGTCACAGGCAGCTGTTCCTCCCTCATCAGAGGACATGTTATAAAGATAGCCCCACTTGGATTGAAATAATGCCACCCATTCCTGCCCCAAAGCACACTCTGTCATGTGCTATTGTTCAGAGAGGCTCCCCTGGAAAAATAAATGTTGGGACTTGTTAGTGTATGTGGTCGTATGGACAAAATTCAAAACTATATTTATGTATTATTTTGTATGTATTTGACATGTTATCCCCATTCCCAGGAGACTTTCAAGATGCAGTCTAGATTTCACCAAAAGCCCAAAAGAGCTAAGCGTTTTCACTCTTCGATCTTGACAGCTTAAACGCTGTGCAGCCCCCCCACTCGGTGTCAGGTCCACAGCCTCTCGAGGTGAGAGTGAAGATAACATTTCACAGTGTCTATATAGCACTGTCATGTGAAGGATTATGTAGCCGTGTACAAGCCGCTTGTAGTACTGTAGGGGGTCTGATACCTATCTCCCTGTGGTTTAGATGCTGGTGCCGTTGTTCTATTTTTCCGCTGCGCTAAAACCCGACCAAAAGTATGTTTGAGTCTTTCCAGTCTTTTGCTGTTGTCAGTTAATACTGGGAGGATTTGGCATCAGAAACTTCTGTTTTTTATTCCCAGTTTTTTTCCCATAGGTTTGAACAACCTCTGCCCTGGTAATCCCTAAAGAAGACTCGCCTCTTAATGTCGATAACTGTGTTTTACTCACATTGCATTTCCATCTTTCTCTCTGTTTTTCCGCCAGCTGAGAGGAGTTTATGCACTGACACGACCTCAGGAAAACCCAAGATGGCCGCCAAAAGGAAAGGTGGCCTAAAACTCAACGCTATCTGTGCCAAGCTCAGCCGCCAAGTGGTGTACGACAGCAGCTCCCAAAACGCAGAGGGAGATCAGAGCGTAGCAGAGAACAGCGAGCGCGGCAGTTCCTACTACGACGACAACGAGACCAACTTCCCAGAAGGCCTGAGCCTCAGCCAGAGCCTCGAAGAGGACCAGAAGAGACGCGAGGCCATCGAAAAATGGGTCAATGGCGAGTACGGGGATGAGCCGCCTGCTCCCGACGAGGAGCAGGAACATGAACTCAGAGTCAGCAATGACGAAGACGGTCCTCCCGAGGGCGTCTACATGGTCCAGCCTAAGGGCTGCAGTGATGACGAGGACAACGGCGAGGAGGCAGAGGCCACGGCGGGCTCTCAGGATGGTAGTTACCATGATGACAAAGAAACTGAAGAGAGACCTCCAAAGGACAACAGCTACATGCCCCCAAGCGAGGGCCAGAGTCGCCAAGCAAGTTTCTCCTCTCCAGGTATGTTTAACCTGGCATCCAGATCATGACATGTTTTTGAGAACAAACAATATCTTTGGGACATGATCAAAATTTCACTTTATTTTTTCTGCGTTTATTTAACATTTCAAAAATCTGAAATCCATGCAGAGAAATTTTGTCCAGTTCCTCGATTCTGTTGATGCACTTTTTGTTTATCTATTTAAAAGGCACTTCTATTGCTGGAAAAGCATTGGGAAGGATCAAAGCAGATGTTAGCAACTATTGATTGGTACTTCATATTATTTCTACCATTTTTGCAAATTATTGGCATCCTGTCATCGTTACATTTGCTTCTTCGGTGCTTGTTAAACAATATGTTATCAACCAGCTTAACCTTGTCAACGACACACGACGCAATAATCCAAGTAGCACTTTTTCTCTTCAAATCCAGCAGCCATATTTAAAAGTCTTGAGTAAAACAGCAGTCAGACAACACAGATTTCCTTTTAAAGCAAAATCTTGCGAGATCTTGTGCCATGAGCTCTTGTGGCCCCCCCTGTCCGGTATTTTTTATAGATCTGCAACTAACTCTGTCTCAGCTCCACAGTGGTTAGCACTCAATAGCATTAAGAGACAAAAGCTTGGATAGAGGAAAGGAAAGGTGACATTGCCACACATCCACATAAGCTTAAGTGTACCCATTATTGGAAAGACGGGCTCTAGAGTTACAGTATGAATAGCCAGTGACATTATTACTCTAAAGGCAGTTTCAGTTGGCAGGTCAAGAGGGGGAAAGGAACTTGTTTGAGGTTTACAATTCTGAAAAAAAAAAAAAAACATAATTCATAAAATGGGGAAGACTGATAAGGCTGGGCTTTTAAACATTCTCCCTGCAGCAGAGGGCCAAGAGCACATGGCAGGGCCAGTCTAAGCTTCATATTACACCCAGGATTACATACTGAGTCTTTGATTTTTTTTCCCCTAAGCTCACTAAACTTAGCCACTGCCTCAAGCTCCTCTCTTACACGGAGGTACATACGTTTTTTTTTTTTTTTTTTTTTTCTGCAGCTGTTAAATCCAAGTGATCAGTTGTCAAATAAAGTCAGCAGTGCTGAAGTTATCCTGCAATGGCTTATTTAGTTTTTTCCGAACCAATTTTTTTTTTATTTTATTTTTTTGTCTTAGATTCCTTAATGCAACGAGCACTCGTTATAAAATTACTCATAATGGCCCTTGTTTAATTGTGATACCATGTTCCCTTCGCATTACTCACTGATTATCAGACAGATAAAACCGGCAGCAGGGAAGAATTAGCGGCACCCAGCAGTCTTTTGGGAAAATGTTGTTGCACATTTTGTGACCCTTGAAACGAGACACTATAAGAGAGAGTGGCCTTGTGTCGCAGAAGTTAAAACACAGAGCTGTAAAAACATGAATAAAAACACACACTCAGCTCAGTTATAAGAATAGATAAAGTCAGTTTCACACGGAGAGAAGAGAGAAAAAAAAACAGCAATTTGCAGGTGAAACCGGTTGTTGTGGTGCAAAAACAAGTTCTGTTTCGCGTTCGCTCGCCTCGGTTGAGCAGTTTTTCGGGCTTCTATCTAGGTTTAAGTATGCGCCTCAGAGTCACATCACACGTACTCCCTTTTTTTGTCATCGCCTCTATTTTCTTCTTTTTTCTTTTTTTTTGTTCACTGAAAGTTCAGCAGCCGCTCTGGCCACAGTTAGAATCGGGGGCAGGGGCTTCTGAGAAAAGAGTGCAGACTTCATTTCAGAGGCAAAAGAAAAAAAAATGCTTTGTGGTTTTAATTAGTCATTTTGTTTATTTCGCGGCCTTAAAAGGGCCTTGTCTGTAAATATGTTGAACTATTGTGAGTCAGGCTTACACCTTTCTCCCTCCACCGGCTTCCTTCTTTTAAGCTCACAAGAAAGCCGGGTGTTTGAAGACGGCATGGAGAGAGCACCCCGCATCAGTCGCAAATCTCGTCTTTAGAGCGTTGTTGTTGTTTTTTTTTTCTCTCTCTCTTTTCTTTCCCCGAGTTCCTCTTTGTTGATTGTAACTAGGGCATCTATATTGCCGTGTTTCTGCTCAGCTCACAATTAAAAGATTTTTTCTCCCCTCTCCCCGTCTTTCTTTCCCTCTCTCTCTCTCCAGCTCCCTCTTTCTCTTTCTCACTGCTGTCTTTCAAAGGCTGATGTGGAGTGCACATAATTATGCATATAAACATAGTGGCTTAATTATCTCTCACAACATCAGTGACAATGTAATTAACAAACATTGCAAGATCAATGAGAGAAACTGCGACCTTCAAAACATTTAACTCCTCACATCGAGGCATTGCACAGTTTTCCTATCAGTGCAAAACCCCAGAATACTTTTCCTAGATAATTTAGATGTCGCATTAGAGCCCTCTTAAGCCAGTCAATGGGAAAAAAACAACAATGAATTAAAAAGTATGAAACAAATGATAGAGATGCTCAGAGCGATGGATTAAACAGGCTTGACCATGACTTCCATTTGCAATTCTGGGTTCACCCTAAAAGGTTATTATTCATTTCAAGCTATTTCAAAGCCCCCTCCCTCTATTTACTGCCTGTTAATTAACTGAGCAAACAGTGTGGAAGTTTTAAGCCCCGCACTTTTCTTTTTTCGTGTGACAAATCACATCAAACAAATGTACATAACGTCATTTATTCATTGCAACTCTTTATTAGCTCAGCCACTGTCTGTTTAAAAAGTGCACCCTCAAACTAATTCACTGATATGAGCATAAATAGTTTTTTAAAACTATATTAAAATCACCGAAGGATAAAAAAAATAATAATAATGCAGCCAATTGAGACCAGTACAGCTTTTTGAAGCCAACCATTTCAACCAAATGTCTGCGTGCAAGCTCTTCAGATTAGTCCATTTATAGCCGCCGGCTTCCATCTTTATCATCGCCGACACCTTCTGCCTCTTGGTGCCATGGACGCTGAGGCCGTGCCACACGCTGATGACCATTTTTGGGCAGCAAATGGAGATATAAGGCCCATCTGTTATCATATCGGTGAGGGGAAAAAGTGGCCTAATTGCCTCAAATACAGACAAGGCAGGCCTGTGTCGCGGTTTGGATCTTGAAGTGTCGAGATTAGGAGCCGCTTGCCCGCAGCTCTCCTCCAGAGAGAATGCAGATGGAAATGTCAGATGGGGTTAAAGCAGAAGAAGAAAAGAAAATTATTAAGTTATTTATTCAATAATTTGTCCTAAGCCGAAGGGGGCCACGTTGGGCCCTGATCCCCACACACAACATTCATTTTCCCCACCTGGTGTCACATGGCATTATTAAGAGGTGCTCAGATAGCAGTTGAGTAGCAGCCTCATTTACATGCCGTTTTAGAAAGGTTATCTCCTGTCAGTCCTGGTAATAATCCCTTCAAGTCCAGTCATTTGCCTTTCAGTGATAGCACGTCACACGATACGGCTGATTTCTCAGCAAAAAGGGAAGAAGAATAAAAAAACAGACATCCGTTAAATATTAAAAAGTTAAGCATTGCATGCAACAGGAAGACGTTAAGTTTTTGATCAGTTCTCTAAACTGATAGTAGTTTTCTGTGTAAAAACAAATTTAAGCGCATTCCATTTTTAACTTTTGCCACATTTTATCATGCAAAGATACAAAAAACTGTAACATATTTGTGAAATACTTTATGTGTTCGACCAACACAATAATAAGAAAGGTGTGACGTGGCCCCCTTTACTCAGATACCCCTAAGCAAAGTTTCTGAGAGTTGTTGATTCCTTGAGATGTCATTCTATGACCTAACCCAACTTTATCAATAACCTGGTGGCATTGGACTTTATTTAAGAGTACCAGAAAACCGCCATACCAGTTTTAAGTCTTCTTCAGCCTCCTTACATTATATATTCCATGATTGTTTTGTATCATGGATCTTGAAGTGTCGAGATTAGGAGCCGCTTGCCCGCAGCTCTCCTCCAGCTTCTAGTCACTGCTGAACAGCTTCACTGTTCCCAATAGAGATAACCATTCCCGCAGCATGATGCACCCGCCTCTGTGTGGATGGTGTTTCTCAAACCTTGTTCATGAAACAGCTGTGTTAAAATGGTGAGATTAAATCAGTCAAAAGTAGATTCTCTTGAATAATTCTCTGACTTTTAAAGAGCATTAAATGTGATTAATTTTCTTAAATAATTTTATTACTTTGCAAGTAAAAAAACATATTTGTTTCTTCCCACTTAATAATTGTGCACCACTTTGTGAAGGGTTGTTGAATATAGAATACATGAAAGTTGGTGTGCTTTTTTTTTTTTTTTATAAAAGGTGGGAATTACATTGATATAAAAGTATGAATACTTCACAAGGCACTCTCTTTTTCAAGTTTTAGTAAAGTAGTTTTATTCTTTCACTCTTTGATCTGTGGTTGGGACTACCCTAACTTTGGAGCAATATGATATACTGTATGGATAGATAGATGCATATCATATGGTGCAACTTGAGATGGCCTTATAAATACAAACCAATGATATCCAACCAAGAGATCTCGAATTGCTGTCCTTTCTAAATTATCTCAGTCAAAAGCATTTCCAATTATGTTAAATGCCACCAATTAATTTTTCAGCTAAAGAAAAAAAAAATGTCATGTGAGATCCGGTATTAAAGAGCACAATAGGCACTTGTATTTACATAGTGTCACTGTGGTTTTAGTACATGTGAAAACACGATAGATTTGACAAACTGATCTGTGGCAAACATGTAGGTATTTCCTCTCAAATATCTGATCTATTTCTCCTAAAAATTTCATGGCACTTCGATCCACTAGATCTTGTTTCATACCGACCCACAGAGTGGAGAAACAACCCCAGCCGTGGCGAGTGGAAATTTGGGGATTATTTTACATGCTGCGCAGGGGATGTGAAGAGCAGGGCCCAGGGACTGATTTAGCAATAACTGAGAAATATGAGACAAGAACAGAAATATTTGCGTATTAATTACCTCGGATGGTGGGCGGCACCTCCTCCTGCCAGCTCATGTGTTCTCTGCTGATGAAAACAGCAGTAAAACTAATTTTTAAAAAAGGACTTTGGATTTCATCCCTGTGACCGTGCCAAGTCAGTGAGTGAGTAAAGGAGGTCGAACATAGTGCTGTTGAAATGATCATCTGTTCTCAGATCCTGCCTAATGTGCAGTTACTCAAGAGGAGACTTTTGGAAATGAGTCAGATCTGCAAACACAAGGCTGCTCCGCCACTCCTGATTATTTCTTTCTTTCTTTCTTTTTTTTCTTTCCGCTTCTCTCTTACTCCCTTTTTCTCTGCACCATTTCCTCTTCACGCAAGCTCCTCTTCTTCATGCAGAGCGTGATCCTTTCACTGCTTTCAGGGCCAAATCATCCTTTCCTTTCCGCCACTTTCTGACCACTTACTCTAACCTGGATCGCACTTAATGAGGCAGAATTAATCTCCACATAATGCAATTAAACTATACATTGACTGTATTCTGCCTGTGTCCTTGGGGAAGTTGTCCAATTTAATGGAGTCCTTAAGTAAAATTATGTTTTAGTTAATAAATGAACAAAAAGTTTGTTCTTTGCACTTTTGAAGGTGACACAATAATCAACTTTGAAGGTTTATTAGTTTATAAAACATTATTTAATACATTTTCTTAATTCCTGTAGTGTTGTTGGATTTTTTTTCTTTTTTTACATTAAGCACTAAAAATCTTTTAATTCTATAATTAATTTTTTAAATAAATGAATTCTTTCTTGCAGCAGCAAAAGTTCCCTGCTTTAATCTGAACATGTTTATGTGGTTAGGGTAAAAATCCAATTACTGATGGCACAGCTACTGAGAATTCCTGTGGAATAAATATAACCCAAGCATTTTCAGATATACTTCATCTTTTGTAAGTTGATCAAAATCCGTATGTTTGTTTCCTTGGAGTATACATTTGATCTTACTCAGAAGTCCATTTGTCCTAACTTATTGAATGATGACATACATCATTCAATAACGCATGTGTGTGTTGATATCCATAGGTCTAGAAATGTGCTTCAAGAAAAACTACTCTGAAATGTGCCTATGAATTCAAATTGATTGAAAAGTTTAAAACAAATGCTAAAAGGAAAAAAAAGGCATAAAAATATAATCTGAACTTCATTGTTGGAGAACTATGTAAGGCTATGTTACTGTTATTAAATAGTATTAGTTTTAAGATTTTTCAAATGTGGAAGATTCTGCTTCAGAGAAAATAAAATATTTTTAAAATTTTGACTACCAGTTTATCGTTATTGTCAAAACAAGACATTTTTAAAAATGTGTGTTTGTGGCACACACTCTTTGGTATGTTAACCTGCAGATTTTGCAGGACTGACACAGCAAGCAAAACAGGAAGAGCCTGAGGCTGTTTGATTGTAGACAAATATATTCACAGACATTTACAGATGTTGCACGCACTGCAGACAAACTTTTCCTGTTGTTAGATTTGCTAGAGGTCCTTAAATGCAAGAGCAGTGCCATTTGTTTCAAGACATGTTAATTACCCAAGTGAGCAATTTGGCAAATTTGGTCATAGTTAATCTAATTGGTTAGAAAAATATTCATTATTGCAACAGAGTAATTTATTTATAACGAACCACATAGGGACATCTATCTGAAGTAAAGGTATTGTCATTGCATCTATGCTGTTTATAGTTTTATGTTATTACAATGATTCCTTCAGTTTTATACGTACCAGTTTTCAAATGTACAATCTTAACTTATTGAATCTTATATGCAACTTTTTTTATTGTCTTTGTGCAGGAGAAGCTTCAGCCCTACGGGACTATGCTGTCAACACCATGAATAAGTTTCTTGGGATGTTTGGTTATGATGACCATCAGGTAAGGGACGAGGTGTCCAAGAAGATCAGCTTTGATGCTGTCAAAGCTACCTCAGACCCCTCGTCCGTCAGCAATGCGGAGGACTCGCGCAGCCCTCGCTTCTCCAAGTACGAAGAGTACATCCGCAAGCTAAAAGCTGGTGAAACCCTCCCTTGGCCCGTGCACGCTTCCCCACCCAAACCGGATGACCTCAATTCCAAACTGACCCAAGAAAAGAGCACTTCGATGCTTCAGAGCTCCGGTGGCCTGACGGGGGCGGAGAGTCAGATCTACCACTCCAGCCTAGACCACAAACAGTCGGGAGCAACTCAGTTGGGCAACTCTCAGCCGCCCAATTCCTCCCATGTACAGAACATGGCCTCCCGAGCCTCAAAATATGACTTCTTCATTCAGAAGCTAAAGATGGGCGAGAGCTTGCAGCAGCAGAATGGCAATGCTTACAAGCGACCGTCCAAGTACGACCTAGAGAATGTCAAGTTTCTGCACCTGTTCAAACCCGGCGATGGCAACCAAGACATGGGTGGCGCTATTGCCTTTAAGACTGGTAAAGTTGGTCGTCCTTCCAAATATGATGTCCGAACAATCCAGAAGCTAATACCAGGAAATCCAGAAACTTCTTTGATCCCTAATGTTCTGGCTACGGCACCAGGAAACCCTGGAGCTCCAGGGGTCCCCGCTGTTGGGACGACTGGGGCCAACATTGCTCCGGGGCTGACGATGGACCAGGCAGGACACATAAGCTTCAACGCAGCTGATTATATGAAGTCCAGCTTTTCCAAGACTGACTCTATAACCACAGGCACTGTGTCATCAGTGAAGTAAGTTCTTGTTCTTTCTTTTTTTTTATTTTGACATTTTTATGTGATATAAAAAATATCTACTCTTTAACTTTTATTGAACATAAAAAAAAATAAATCAAAAGGTAATGAACTTGTAATCATACTAAGTTCCCAGATCTTGGATATTTTTCTTAAGATTTTTATTTCATAATAAAAATAAATAAATAAATGCTGCGCTCACTCGGTCTGGGAATCCAATTAATTTTGTTATATTACAAATAGAATTGCTGGATTAGAAGGTGGCAATATCCTTAATAATAATAAAAATGTTAAGGTACATTAAGTAGTGCTGAAGTTTAAATTATTGCTAGACAGTATACCAATGAAGTCGCCTAAATTGGCTTAGCGTCGCTACAGTAGTGCTAAACTGAGATTGCACTCAATAGCCTACTGAGTAAACTGTTTTAGCATTACTGTAGCTTGTCATCAGATAATTTGTACATCTGCTAATCTGAATTTTTTAATGTGAAACTTAACTAACTCACATAGCCTAAGCTATCTTGATCTAATATAGGACTATTTTAGATGAACACTGCTGTAGTATGGCCACGCCTTGGTAGTGCTAATCTGAGTCAATTGTCCTAAAATATTTGTAGCACTCTTGAATTTCTTCACTTCACATTTTAAGTTCCATGAAAGCAGTCAGAACAATACAAGAGTAGCCCTTATTTTTTCTAGTTTAGAAAATTATACCAAAAGTAGTCTCATCCTAGGTGTGTGTCACATTTATGTTGCAGACACAGTCACTACAAATAATAATTTAAAACAGCTGACATTCCGTGTAGATCAAGTTTGGGTGTGACTTGTCAAAATAGATATGTGGTTTTTCAAGAAATTGAGGAACAAGAACAAGAAAAACATAAAAAAAAAAGTTGAAGCAATGCTGACTGAAACACAGTGACACCGGAACACAAACCTGTCATGTATCTGTCACTAAATGTAGAATCCTGTCGACCAGTTTTTTGAGGTATTCGGATTAAGTACACCAACATAAATATAATTTAAGACTTTTTTTTTTTACAAAGGAGAAAACATCCTCCATTAGTTGCTGCATTTAAAATAATATACTAATTACACAACAAATCCTTCATTTAAAGTTGACTAATAGAATTGAACAATTCCAAACATAAATTTCTCTTTTCCTTGCACCAATGGTCTCTGAGTGCAGCCCCCTCACAGCTAATGTGATGCTCACATACAATTTAACTGCTTCTGTGAGTCAGTTAGCCAAACGCAAAGGTAATTGCTACCTCCGTAGTGTGAAACAGCGCATAACGCCCAATATATCCACGACATTATGAGCTGCGAAGGCGCATGAAGTGTTTACTCGCCGTAGCACTCCATGGAGACTGATTTAGCACAGTCATCGCAAAGTGACTGACTTCTTTCGTTTGGCTAGGGTGTAACAACTCTCCCTTTAATTACTTCAGAGCCACGGCTAACCTCCCGGTGAGTCGCAGGGGCCGGCTTGACGCTGCCTGATGAGGGCACTTTAAAGGAAGCAAACGAGGGGTTTGGGGAGCTCACCTACAGCTGTGCACATTGGCGGTGGAAAGGAGCTTCCAGAGTCTGTTTGATTGGTTGTGACCTGTCTCTACTCAGCCAGGACCTATCAAAGACATTGTTTAAGAGCCCTCAGGCACCTCTCCCTCAAGCTTTGGCCTTTGCCAGGTTGGGGGCTCTGCGAAGCGGCAATGTTGGCTAACTGACCCAGTCTGCTGCTTGTAGTACACGGGGAGGAGGAAGGGGCGCTGGGTAAAATGTCTGGCAATGTATCCTCCCCTCTGGGCCAGATTAACCTCAGGTCATCCCCTGTGTGGAGCCGCTCACATGGAGCTAAATGCCACTTGCTGAGCGGGAGCAAACACGACCAAATCTCTATTAGGGGTTTTTATTCTGCTGCCAGCTTTATGAAAGGAATCACAACACAGGTGACAAAAGGAAAACACCATTCCCCCGCGCGCCTCTGTAATGTGATGAATTCCTCTTTATTTCCTGCCCTGAAATGAATTTGTTTGAGCCGAAGCTAACGTTCTATATATCAGCTTCTAGAGGTGTCTTACATCTTTGTTTACGCTGATTCCAGACAGATTGCAGTAAATTTGACATCCACATTAGAGCTAAGGCCTCTGGGGATTATCAGAAAGTACTGTTTTTTAGATCTTGTTTTTTATGTTTGCATATTCTCTGCACAACAAAAGATTAATGTCCTTTCGCTTCCGTATTTTGGACTTTGATTGGTTGGGAGCCAGTGCATTGCATCAAAGTACGCACCTTCTATCTTTGATTCATAGCGTGGCTGAAAACGCTGTTATGCCACTGGAAAATACATATTGATAGTGCAAAGTTTGGGAGTGGCTTTTAAGAAAATATTGTGTCAGTTTCTTCTTATTAACAACCGACGTGCCTGCCTCACTATTAATCCTGTCTGTTTGGTGTTTGCTCTTGCATTAGGAATGGTCTGCCGCCTGATAAACCCGCCAGTGATGACGTCAACCTCTACCAGAAATATATCGCCAGGTATGCAAATCCCTCTTGGTGCAAAAATCAATCGAAATTTGCTCAAAACATAAAGAGATCTTTTTAAATCAACTGATACAGCAGTTTGGTCTTCCAAGTAATTACACTGGTCGGGAAATTATCCGTAGGGAGCTTTATATATGAGAAGAGTAGTTAAATGTTGATGAAATGGAAATAAAAAACATACTGTTGTGTGCAATTATATGCAAAACATAAATGTTATTTACAGTTTCCTATTTGGACTGATAAGGATAAAAATGTGAATATTATGAAGGATTTCTATTGAGGTCTAAACCTACTTTTGTAATTCAACATGTTTGTCATCAATACCCATTTTTGATATTGGCTCTTCAACCAGGGCATTGTAAAATCAGGGGCAGCTTGACATCAATAGCTGCCCCTGGGGCAGCTTGATCTTTTTCAGGATTAGGACCACCTTAGATTGAAGTGTGAAAAAGTTATATATTGATATATATAAATTGTTTTATTGGATTTCAGCAGCAAGTTTGGTCATGCTTTGAGCTGATCGTGATAAACTAAATAATAGACAGGAAAAAATGGGTGGCTTTGTCTTGCTAAACTGTTTCACTTTGATTTGCAGATAAAGATGAGTTTGTTTAATTTCAGAATTATTAATATGAATGAATGAAGATCAAATGTGGGGTTCCTCAGGGCTCCATTCTTGAGCCACCTTAATTCAGTTTCTAATTGCTCCTCCTATTAAAGATTATGGATAACTAATTCTCTTCCATGCTTGCACAGAAGATCAAAGATAATGTGTTCAGATCATTTTCATAATGTGCAGCTTATTTATTGATTTTTGGTTTGCAGCATTCCTCTGTTATGCAATGCTTTTATATTATTACTATTAGTCTTTTTTATTTTAAATGGGTTTTCTACCTCTGTTCCTTTATTTTCTTCTAAAAAACTTTGCTTTGAAACATGGTTTAATTAGTGGTCAGAGACTAGATAAATGGACATCAAATGTTCAGATTTCAATGAATTTTTTTAATCTGAAAATTTTTTTTCACTCTTTTGTCCTGAATTTGTACAAAATGCAAAAGGCAAGAAATGACTAACACTAAAGTCATTTACAACAAAATACAGTAAACATCCAAGAAGGGAATGCATCTTATATTTCAGTGGACATAACATCCAGTTGAATTCATCATCACTAAAAAGGTGATCATCTTCGTCTCTTTAGTCTATATAAAAAGGGAAAAAAGGCATTTGAAAAGCCAAAGTGGCTTTGGCATTAATGATTACTTCTCCAAGCCATAACATGAAGGGCACAAATCAAAGCCTTGGCACTGACAGAAACACACATGTGCGCGTCCTTTTCTGCACACTCGCTCGCACGCACACACATGAAGCCCCTTCCTTGGACTGATTACATTTTGCAAGAAGATTTAATTAAGGAATTTTTAATGAGGCTTCTGCTGGCACTGCCAAGAACTGTTTTGATATTTGCGCTGCATAATGCATAAAATTTGTCTAAACATCTCGGCAGTTGATGCACGGGGAGGTTGCAGATAAGCCCAGATACAGTTTCAATTTCCGTGTTGGGCTTGAGAAAAAAGAGAGAGAGAGAAAAGAAGAGGAGGGAGGGGAAAAAATGGAAAAGGAGGGCTCATAAAAAGGGCAAATGTAGCAGCAAGATGGGAGGTAGAGGCAGGGGAGGAGGATCTTTTTAAAGCCCTGGATAATGAGCGCAGAATGTGACAAAAAAATTGGCTTTGTAAATATGTTTTCATCCAATCCCTGGAAAAAAATTTGGGGGGGGGAGAAGGGGCTTCCTCATATTTTCAACTTGCACTCAAGTTCGGCTCGCAAAGATGTTCCTTGACGGCGTTTAGGTGCAGTTTCTGCTCTTTAAATGCTTTCATGCAGCCACCGTTGCCTCACCACTTTGATCTGTGTAACTCTATTGTAACTGGAGATGCTCTGCAATCTCTGTATCGTGGCGATATTAATATTTAATCTGCAGCTGAATAGCAGAGGCCCATTAGGCCCCCTGACGCGGCAAGTGGGAATTGTCCAGAGGCAAAGTGATACAGCTGGGCAATGAGCAGAGGGGTGGACTGTAGTCTCAGAGGGGAAAGGTGGGGGGCTGTGTGTGTTAATCATCGTGGATGTTCATGTATATATGTGTGTGAGACTGCCTTTATAGACGGGACATATGTTGGCTCTTTTCTGCGCTCTGGTCGACTCTTGTTAAAAGAGCCATCAGGCCTTCTGCTGTCGTTTCTGGAAAGAGGTACTACTGTTAGACATATGCTGGAGTGAATATCAATATATCACAACAGCATGGAAAATGTACGTAATTAAGTTTTTTGAGAGTGAAGCCCACATTTCACACATCATATTTTATACAACAGTCTATTTCAAGGACTTTGTTCATTTTGATTGAGCTTTATGAAATATATTTTCAGTAGATAAAAATATGATATGACACCAATAAAAATGATCTTTTCTTTTCCAGACTTTTTCCTTCCTCCTAATTTTCCATAATTATGCTTGGGTTTGACTTTCTATGAAAAGCCAGCTTCTCATTTTATTAGGAGCTGAGATTTGGGGTTTTATTATCTGCCATTACCTTAAGAAAGTAGGTATAGATACTTAAATGATAATTAGGAATAAATATGGTCCCTCCCAAATAAAATTCTGCTTCAGGACACCTAAAATCTTTGGTTTGGCTGTGTTTAAAAAATCACAAACATCCACACTGTCAACTTAAAAGCAGTGCTGAATATGCTGTTCAATTAACTTAATGAACTCAGCAAAGTGATCTGTAAATGCAGCTCTGGGATAATCCTAACAAGGAAAAAAAAAAAAAACAGAAAGAGAGATGGAAAAAATATTACTCAGCCCCCTTTTCCCCCTCTCTCCTCGGCACTACAGCAGATGGAGTCCTTGGCAGCAGCAGAGCAAATGTTTATTTGTGTGTTTTCACTGGTAATTGGAGGATTTTAACAGTCGTCATTGTCAGGCTTATAATCACCACCATAAAAGTGTCGGCTCGACAGTAAAAAGCTGCTTTTTTTAGGCTGAAATTCCAGTTTTTTGCGCTTTTGACTGGAGGGAAAACACACAGAGCCCAACCTTTTACCTTACAGGGCCAAATTGTTGTTTACCTGAAAGAACGAGGAAATGATTTGACAAGGCCTTTTCACAGCAATACGAAGAATAAGAGTCCCTAATGTGTCAGCGACTGCAAAGAGAGAGAAAAAAAAGGTTTTAGAGTAATAAGTGTCTCTTACGGCGCCATTGGAAATAAATGAAGATAATTTGGTTGAAATTGGTGTGACAGACGGGTAATTTGTGGCAGAGTGTGGAAAGCAGCAGCCAGTTTGAAGGTGTGAGATTCGTTACTTTGAAGGTGACATCTGAAGACGAGCAAGCTACCTCTGAGAACTCAATCACCTGTGTTGTTTTTTTTTTTTTCTTCTCCAATTTCTGGTAATTTTAATGATTTATCAGCAAATTGTTCTTCATCTGCTGTTGATCATTTCAGAATCACATCTCTCCGTGTTGCCACGTCATATTCCTCCTCCCCCTCAAAGTTGGCAAACATAACATGTAATTGCTTTTATTTAAACACGTAATCCTCCCGCTGTAAATATAGTGCTGCGGCTTATTGGTTATAACTTTGTTCTGTAATATTTATTTATTAATATTTTGATCATGTTATTCTGACTACGCGAAACATAATCACCCACAAGCAGTTTAGTAATTCATATTTTACTGTTTTTCTGTTCTGCTCTTTGTGTTACACAAACAACAAGCAAAGGATGTGGGACCTACCCACGCAAGTTGCATATGCAATTTACAAAAGCTCGTTAGTCAACAACTTCCAATGTTTTTACGCCTTGTCCTATCTTTATCCCTATGCGCTCGCCATCATTTCTTAACACATCCTCATCCATCAAATATTTTGTTCTACAAAATTGGAGCTTTGACAAGAACGTCTGGTGAAGTAACACATCAGAATCAAAGTAGGAGTAGGAGTCGCTGAGCGTGCCCTTTTCGCTTGCTGCTGTTGCGTCTGATCTGCTTGAGGTCGATCGTTAGGTTAGAGGCGGGGACACCGTCGCCTGTAGTTACTAAAATGAATCACAGTGATATTAGATTTTAACTTTTGTAGCAAATATCAATTTATTATAAATCTTTTTGAGGCCCTCATAGTCTCCCGGGGATCCAATCCACTGTCCCTTAAAGACCAGATTGAGGCTGCACTTTTAGTTTGACTGATGGATGACCTTAGTACTTTCTATGAATTTCTGTGCAATGGAATGTATTGCAATGCAACACTTGCCCTCCCCTGCACACTGTTGGTCAGCTAGCTACAAGAATGCTACAAAAAAAAAAATCAGTTGTTTGAAAAAATTTCCAGACATAAAAGACATTCATGGTGCGAGACCTGACACAACACCACTGAGAAAATGTTTCCTTAACAATACAGCTGGCAAGCTACATGAGTTTATTTTTAAAAAGCTATTTGTACGATGTTGTTTTAGATCTTCATGTGTAAAAAAGTGGCACTGTACATGGTAATTTTTTCTGTATTGCGAGAATCTTGTTCTGATGCTGTGGCACAGCAGTTTCAGGTTCACCTGGTCCAGGCAGCAACATGGGCAACCTGGGCCAATTACAACGAGACAGAGATGACAGCGTTCCATTTTTAATGTGGTTTAACATGCCCTGTGTTTTCAGGTTCTCTGGAAGTCAGCACTGTGGACATGTGCACTGTGCTTACCAGTACAGAGAGCATTACCACTGCATGGACCCTGAGTGTAACTACCAGGTGAGCGTGAGTACTTTATCACTTTTTATGAGCATGACCCAAATGCAAATTTGAAAAGGCCACCCTTATTGGTTTAAAACCTGCCCAGGAGCAATAAATGGCATGGTTTATTTTAAGACAGAAGGGATGATTTAAAGCTAAAGGTCTGAAGGACCCAAAAAATGGGATGTGGTGCTCCAAGGATAGACAAATAAGACAGAATGTGCCTTTTTTTTTTCACTCGATGGGTCACACCCAGCCAAAGTTTACACAGATGAAAGGCTTGTTGGTATAAGGCCTGCTGAACAAGCTGCGGCTGTCCAGGTTTCAGTCATTCTCAGGCAGAGCTGTTCTAATAAGGCTAAAATATCATTTTTTATCTGCTTACTTACTGTTGTTTTAATATACTGCCTCTGCCTTTAATCCAATCTCACATTTCTAATCTTTTCCTGGTTCAACAGCATGTCATGTACATGCACAGGATGAGAAAAAAACATAAAGCAGATCATAAAACAGACCTTGTTTATGCTGCAGCATATGGCCAATGAGAGAGAGAAAGAGAGCCGAGTATTGAGTTCTTCTTTTTTTCCCCTAATTTTGTTTCTAAATGAAGCCATCTTTAGTTGTAATCTTCTTTCTGCTCCCGATCTAAGGAGATTACCCTCGGATAAATATTGTTTATGTTGCGATGAGCATCACAGGGCTAAGCTTTCATTTTCTGCATGAATTTCTCTCCCCCCCTTCAGCAGCCTGACGGGACACATTCTTGGAGAACACAAAGGAAAATCATCTCATGTCGTTATTCAGAGAGTTAGTTCAGGTTATCACGGCAATTTCCACGGTCAGCTCCACATTTCTCTGTTATTTTTGTGCCGTGTGGAAACATAGATATGCTCAGGAAGCCAGTTCTCTGGATGTCAATACACAGAAAAAAAAAAAAGGGACAGCCACGGCGTGATGAGCAGCCCCCGTTTTTTTTTTTTTTTTTTTCAGAGCGATAACTCATGAAATGTTACATGACACACACTCCTGGAATATTATCCCACTGCCAGCCTGCGGGCGATTGGCTGAGTCCTAACATTCTCCTTTCATGGGCTTGTACATGAGCGAGAGTGTGCATCTTGCCACACTGGTGGGAATCCTAAAATAAATGTAGCAAGTGGCTCCCAACCTTCATCACCACTCCAGTGAAAATGAGATCTTTTTCCCAGTCAGCTCTCTCTATGGCCTATTTTGGACGGCTTGATGGATCGAATGTACCCTGACCGCGGCTCAATTCGTCTTCCGGTCATCAGCCATCATCGCACGGCAGAAAAAAAAAATAAAAATAAAAGCGCACCCACTGTACCCGAAATCAGGATTTCTGAGCCAGAATCGGGGGGGGGGATTAAAGAAGTGATGGAGCGTTCATCAGTTAGATTAAAACTCCTAATGAAGTGTGCACTGCGACGGAGTCAGACATCTCAGAAACATACAGTGGGAAACAGTCCAAGTGTGATAAACGAACAGCTGTGTGAGATCTTTGGTTTTTAAGAGGAACACATGACACAAAGCAATTACCCTACTTTGTGCAGCAATTAGTTTCTTTTTAGTATAGTTCTGTTTGGTTGTTTTTGTTTTTTTTTCCCACTCAACTGCAGATAGATATGGATTAAAGACAGAATTGTCTCATTGATTTAAGCTTCTCCTGTTACAGTTTCTTTAGCATCAGCTTAAACCCAATTACAGCAGATTTGGTTCCTGCAAGTCTCTGCGGAGTGATTCTTTTTTTCCCCTCTGTTTCCCCCCTTCCTGACTCCTGGATGTGGGAAACATTTTTATTTATATATTTGTAATTTTAGAGGGCAGGTCCCTAAGCATATTCATTCATCATTACATCTGAAACCTGCACCAACCAAAAGAGAAAAAAGGCAAGCGTGGTGCTTTAATTAAAAACGGAATCATATCTCAGTGAATTGAAAGGGAAAATGTTTTTTTTTCTTTTTGGTTCACTTGTTTGTTTGTTTCTGTTGTCTGCTGTTTCTCCCCTGTGAACGTCTGAAACACCGTCTGCATGGAACATAATTTTCTCCAGTGCAAAAAAAACAAAACAAAAAAAAACAACACAAGAACTGTGATCTTGCATGTCAATTGATTCATCTTAATTTGTAAATAAAAATGCATTTTGTAAGACAAAAAAAGACAAAAAAAAGAGAGAAACAGAGGGAGTAAGGCTGGTTGGAGAGAATATTTGGTGCTTTCCAAGAGCCTTCAAGGCTCATTTTGCAGAATAAATCAATGAGCACAGAGACTGTCATCTTTAAAGAAATCCTGATCCTCTTCCCTAACAGCGTGCACATCCCGCCCCGGCTGCCAACTGGCTTCTGCATGCTGCAGCTGCTGCCTTCACAGAGCTAAAGTGACTTGTTGCTGATTCTGTGACCGGTTTAAATAAATTCCAACCTGTTGCTGTTTATCCCTCCTCGACCTCCTCCCCTCCCTTTTCCCTCACCCTTTTGCAGAGGTTTACCAGTAAGCAGGATGTAATCAGGCACTACAACATGCACAAGAAGCGGGACAACTCCCTGCAGCATGGCTTCATGCGCTTCAGCCCCCTGGACGACTGCAGCGTCTACTACCATGGCTGCCACCTCAACGGAAAAAGCACCCACTACCACTGCATGCAGGTACACTGCAGCTCCCCCTCGCCCACCTACACATACGACCACAAACGTAGGGTGGGCATGACTTAAAGCGTACAATATACACAGACATGCAATAAAAAAAAAAAAGAAGCCCTGCAACCTTGGTTCAACATGCTTCAGCATGAATAACACAAATAACTCGCTGCTGCAAGGAAATCCAAAATATGCGATTAATGTCAGGTTAACCTGCAACAAGGGTAGGACTGAAATGTTTTACATTTATTAAACCCAATTTTCAGCTTTAAAAAGTCTCATATGTGTTTTATAGTAGATCATTTACAGTTCACATTTACAAACTGGGAAAACCCCTTGCAGGTTTTCCCAAAATATTGTGTTTTTTTTTCACATTTTACTTTCTGATTACAGCAGAAAGTCTTTTGAATTATCGACCAGCAATGTACATCTAATATAAATAAATCTGTTTAGAGCTACATGATTTCACTGCACGGCCTCTGGCTCCATGTTTGGGGTCGCAGACTTCTGCCCCCCCAGCTTACACTCCTTACTGCTTTGAACAAGTTTCCTTCGAGGATGATGCTCTGTTTAGCTGCACCACCACAAATAGTTTTGCATGCAGAGCAACAAGTTACATTTGACCCAAGCGCATTCAGAGATTTATGAAGAAGATTTGTAATAAATTTTCTGTTGACGGTTTGTACGGCCTGAGCTGTGCACCTTGTAGCTCGTCTACAGTTTCCATGTGACTCTTTGCAGCTTGATTAAAATATCAAGGTGCAAGAAAGTGAAGCATGTTGATTATTACACTGAGATAATATTTACTGTCTGATTTCTGAAGACAAATGGTAAGAGGTTGTTTTAGGGGTGTTGGTGGCTTTATGGTTTTCAGATTTTTATTTGGAAAAATAAATAATTTTCCTTCCACTGCACAATTACATACGACTTTGTGATGGTCTATTTTGTTGACATTAAAAGTCAACAAAATAGATGAAAGTTTGTGGCTGCAGTGTGTGAAAATGTGAAAAAGGTAAAGGGTATCGTTATGTTTCAAGGCACCCTGGTTAGACTTTCGTTGCTTCTTCCATCAACTTTTTCTCAGCCATTCACCCTTCAGCTTGTTTTTTTTATTTAAATTGTTTTTAAGGGAATTTAGATCTAAACGCTTTAATTGAGCATCTACCACCAGCTTTCTGACAAAGAGCTGTTTAAATTACCAAAATTTGGTGTGGAAACAGTCAATATCCTGTACGGAGGTGACTGTATACTGTGGGCGTATTATTGTGTAAAGCCAAAAATCACCAACTTAGACAAAGTTTACACTGTTGAAAACTGTACTTCAGCTATACAGTAGAATAAATATTTTTTTCTAACCCCCATAGATATTAAATGATTTATAAAATGATACTAAAATGCACAAAAAACCTTAATTATAGAATATTTACAGTGAAAGAAAGACTCTACGGTTTCATAAGAAATAAAGCTTCACCAGAGTAAAAATGCACACACACGCGCAAACCAAAAAATATTTATATATTACATACTTGAGTAAATGCAATGAAAACGAGTCAGATTCTGTTGGCTCTGACTCATGGATTTACAGTTCTGTCTTTAAACAGTAGCCTGGGAAAGAAAGAGAAAAAGAAGTTCCAGAAACCAAATCAAAATGAAGAAATTAAAGCGAGTGAATAGATGCGAAGCTTCGGTGTGTAAAGGTTCTCCTCACTCTCTCACTCCTTAATTGGCATGGATAAAATTTCCCTAAGGTGTTTATATAAACTACACATTTTTCATCTTTTAGTACCAAGCAGCCTGTTGAGGATTATTCCCCTTCTTCTGGATTTGTTTAATTTTTGTTTCATCTGCTTATTTTCAAAGTGTCACTACAGCAGGGCAGCCCAGGATGGCTCCATATATATATATATATATATATATATATATATATATATATATATATATATATATATATATATATATATATATATATTCCTTTTTTATATATACCTCTCCGACGGCGTAATTGTTATTAGGATATTTCAGCCGTTGTTTAACAGACGCTGAGAACCTGCAGATGTTGGCATCGGCTGCTCTGATTTAAGAGGCGGGGAGGGGAAAAAGAAGAAAGAAGCAGAGTGGCGTTTTTTTCATTGTTTGACTCAATATGGAGAAGTTGCCACTGATGATATACAATCGTTCCTTTTAAATTCAAACATTACCTCGTTTTTTCCCTCTTTGTTGCTTGTAAGGAGTCGTTTGTTTCCAGAATATTTTTAAACTAAAGATCAAGACAGTCATCTTACTCCTGTGGTTTCCTTCTGCCCCCCCCGCCCCACCACCTAGCTCAACCTTTTTCTTTTTTTTTTCTCTTAGTGTTACTGTAAGCTTGTGGCATCTCCACCATCACGTTCCAAATCTGAATTTCATTTTCTAAAAGGCAGCTTCTGCCAGGAAGGTACTGTAGTTTCACAAGCCTCCTGTGACCACCACCTCTTTCAGTTACTACCTTTTTCTTTCCAATTGTTACAAAGATGACAAAGATTGTTTCCAATTCAAAGGGTTAATCTGAAACCGGTGACGCTCACATGTGCATCACCACAAATTAAAAGTTGAATGTGAGAAAATAACCCTCTTCCACTCATTTCTAGGCCACTAGCATTTTGTTAACCACAGTGCGCTCCCTCTTCTGTACCCCGTACTGTATATCAGATATCTTTAAAGTACCGCACTTCAAGAAGCTACCTTTTTTTTATCTTCTTCGGTCTTTTCCTCGCAAACCGAAACTCTGATGTGTGCTGTCGGCCCAGATCTCGTTTTCCATCACCGTGCTTTCTCTCTCTCTCTCTCTTTTTCTCTCACTCTCTCTTCTCTCTAGGTGGGGTGCAGCAAGGTGTACACCAGCACCTCAGATGTCATGACCCACGAAAACTTCCACAAGAAGAACGCCCAGCTGATCAACGACGGCTTCCAGAGGTTCCGCGCCACCGAGGACTGCGGCACCGTCGGCTGTCAGTTCTACGGCCAGAAGACCACGCACTTCCACTGCAGGTGATGCACGTGGTCAACAATGCAAGCATGAAGAGTTTAAATGCAAAACAAAAAGATCAAATGAAATCGGACTTCTGGCAGATTTAGGTTTGAAGGTAGCTTTTAGTTTTATGAGATGCATTTTCTTTTAACTGGAAGTAATATATCCAGCTGCGATCCTAAATTAAATTTGATATAAAATTTGTGGAGGGAGCAAAAGATTAGGGTGATGGCAAAGAGGCCTGACAAACTCCAAAAGTAATGAGAACTAGTCTAAACAGCAGTGGAGACCCACATAAAGCTGCTCTTCATTTAGAAGACGGGCATAAATAATTTCCAGCTTTAAAAGAATAATAAAAATAACCACCGATTTATACTAAGCTTCTCGTATATCATTTTATTATCTTGAGCAATGCCTGTCTTATTTCCTTTTAGGAATAAAGTTTTTGGTTGGATGAATGAAAAAAATATATATCTTTATCTGAGAGATGTAAGAATGACTTGGCTTTAATATATATCATTTGGTGAAATGAATAAAGTTGTGAAATCCTCAAATTTTACTTGAAATAAAGTGTAATTAGAGAACACTAACACAAATAATAAAATCATGTATAATGGCATAAGTTTTTTAGAGTGATATTTAAATATTCTTAAACTTTTAAGAATATTTATTGATAATGGCAATAGAAATGCTGGTGAAAATCATCTCTGCAGTCTGATGCCGCCAACAACATGTTTAATGTTGGGGTTGAATATTTTGCATTTAGGCTAAAAAGTTTCATTTAGGTCTGGTAAAATAGCATTAAGCTCTTAATTTGATAAACAATGCAGAAACATCAACTTAACATTTAAGGAGTTATATGGTGAACAATTCATCTCAGTAAGAAATGTGTTATTAGAAAATACCATGATGCTGCCACCACCATGTTATAGGGTGGAAATCGAGTGTTCATGCTGATTTGTTCATAGTATTTTGCATTTATTTCAAGAAGTTTCAATTAGTTTCAGTGGATTTTACTTTTCCCCTTTCCTGAGACTTATTGGCTGTGAACCAAAGTGAAATCCCAACAAGATACATTGAAGCTAGCTGCTTTAACTGGAACAGGGATATTTTCAATTCCTTTTAGGTGGTTATTTAACACATTCCTATTAATTATTTGCACAGGCGTCCGGGATGCACGTTCACTTTCAAGAACAAGTGCGACATCGAGAAGCACAAGAGCTACCACATCAAGGACGACGCGTACGCCAAGGACGGCTTCAAGAAGTTCTACAAGTACGAGGAATGCAAGTACGAGGGCTGCGTGTACAGCAAAGCAACCAACCACTTCCACTGCATCCGCTCCGGCTGCGGCTTCACCTTCACCTCCACCAGCCAGATGACCTCCCACAAGCGCAAGCATGAGAGGCGGCACATCCGCTCCTCCGGCGTCATGGGCCTCTCCTCCACCTTCCTGGCCCCGAAGGATGAGCCAGAAGAGTCCAGCAACGACGACCTGATGGACTTCTCGGCCATCAGCAGCAAGAACTCCAGCCTGAGTGCCTCGCCCACCACCCAACAGTCCGCCACCACGCCCCACTTGTTGAGCACGCCCACTACCGCCACCGCCTCCTCGATGTCGGGCCACAACCTCAAGCCCACCCAGTCGCTGCCCGGCGCGGGCCAGCGCATGTCGAGCCTGCTGACTCAAAATCTGCCCAGCAACATGCCGGTAGCGCTTGCACTTTCAAACAGCGCCCTGGCCTCCTCCAACCCATTCTTCCCGCTTCTGCCGAGGCTGCCTCTACAGCCTCCCCCGACGGCCGCTGGCCTGATAACGGCCGCGTCTTCTGGAGCCCACTCCATGCCGACCGACTCTCTGACCCAGGGTGGCTCGTCCATGGGGGGAGATGCAGCCATGGCACCAACTCCAACATCCTTTGCCAATTCTTCCATTTTGGAGAAGATCTCTGCAAGCAAGGGTCTGATATCACCCATGATGGCCAGATTGGCGGCGGCTGCCTTGAAACCGTTAAACAACACAGACACAGGTTGGTCGCTTTAAACTGACAACTTCCGCACAGTAGATCACAATGTGGTCAAAGCGACCACTCAGATTTTTAGAGGGATATATTTTAGACATTTTCATTTTGATTATTATAAATTAAAGTTAATAAAAGTCAAAGAAATGTTAGAGAGATGCAGTTAAAGAAGCTTGCTTTTCAGAATGTTGCATGAAAGCCAGCATGTTAATGGAAAACTGAGTGGAAGGAGAAAGTTTGGTTTAAAAGGTGCACTACTTGAACATCTTTCTCCAGCTTCTGAATTTCCCCAAAACGCTTAAATTGGGTTTGCTTTACAATCCTCTGGTTGTTCCTGGTGTCTGTGCACCTTTTCTTTAACTACACTTTTTTCTTCCACCAAGCTTCCATACATATGCTGGGATTCAGTATTCTTTGAACAGCCATCTTCTTCATCAGTGATTGGTTGTGGTTCACTCTACTTGTACAGGATATCTGCTGTAATGCCAATTGATTGTGTCAGGCACGTTTCCTGATTGGAAACCCTTCCATGTTGGTTTCTGAAAAAGTGAATGTTCTTTGACAAAATTTGAAAGTAAAGCTTTAAACATCACTTTCATTGATAAAAAAAATTCTAACTTATCGAGATAAGGCTTAGATGGTCAATTACTGGTCATAAAATTGCATTGAAGAAGGGGAAAAACAACAACTTTGGACTCAGAAATTACACAAGTCAAAGGTCAAGCATTGTGTGTTAGATTATATATTGGTTCTAATACATTACAGTTGTGCGTTTCTGCTTTTGTACCTGGAGACAAAAGCATATCTCCCTCCTGAGTGTGGACAGAGCAGTCAGAGTGCACTTAGAGGTCAACTCTATAACCATCCTCAAAGTAGAAGAAAAAGCCAGGAGAGCCTGCGCTTTCGGGCTTAAAGGGACAAACCAGAGGCACGGTGCTCTGCTCTGGCTCTGTTATTGTGTTGATCGCTTGTTAGATACTCACAATCCATTTGGAGATAAATGCGCTGACAGGGGGAGAGTAGAGCCTGTAAAAGTCTCTTATGATGTTCAGAGTGGGGGGCTCATGGGGCTTGTGTTGAACATGTTTCCTCATCATTGGCCTCTTATCTCTGTCTGCGCTCGTTCCAAGCAAATGGAGGTGGAATGAAATTAAGTTGAAAAATTGCCAGAAAAAAAAATAAAAAAGATTTTCATGCGCAAACTGATAAAAAAAAAGAAGTGAAATCACTGAGGTAGAAATGACTCAAGGCAGCAGAGTGAGGAAACAGGCTCTGATACAAGGAAGACGCTCATCAACAAAGTCTTTCTGAATTTCTAGAAACCTCCGGTTTTGACGAAAACATGTCAGCGTCTGCTTAGCATAATTCAAATAAGTTTTGGAGGTAATTGGCTTGTCTGTGTTTATCATATTGCTCCAAACAAAGCCCCATTCGAAAATGAAAATAAAGCGTTTAATTCTGATAATGCACTGCGGAGCGTGGCGCCGCATTCATTTAGAGCGGGTTCTCGGTCTGAGCAGGTGGGGGGTGGATTTCAAACGGGGGTCGCTCCGGATGTTGGTGGAAGTGGGGAAGGATTATAATTCCTGCTGGTGTTCCCAGAGCAGGACGGGCCCAGAGAGAGAGAGAGAGAGAAAGAGAGAGCCAGGGGCAGCTGCTCTGAGCCGAGCCCAGCCTGTCAGGCTCAGCTCCACCTTTTGGGCTTCCAGCAGGTAGCAGCAAACTCTGCTGGGGTTGGGAGGCACCTGCTGAGGGTGGGGCCTCCACAGATGGTCCCTTCTCATTTCAGACGCACCGCTACAGCTCAGATCTGTTCTTTCAAATATCCCCTCCCCCTACCTCCACCCTACACACACACACGCCACCACATTCTCAATCACAAACATTTTTGTAAAAGAAGTTGATGCCTCGCAGAATGGAGGGTTAGCTGTGGTTTTATTTCTCTTATTTGCTTCTGAAAATGTGTGAACAGGACATTTGGGGCTAAAATGAGGAGGAAGTGGTTTGTGCTTCTCTGTCAAAAAGGTGTGAGAGAAGTCATTGCGTCAAGGCTATTTTGGCAGTGTTTATTTTCTCATCTGGCTGCGAAACTTTGCCTCTTTTTTTGCAGTAAATTGAGCCTCTTTTCCTGTTTCTGCATTCAGTATTTCTTCTTCTTTTTTTTAATTAATGTTCCACTCTAATTTACCCCTAAGTTTTCTTTTTTTTTTTTTTTTTCCCAGAGATTCGAGCATCTGAAGGGTTTACTAATTAGACGCACAGTACAAATGATCTTTCACAAGCTCTGTATCTTATCCAGAGTAATTACATGGTGTACATTATTCCTGGATAATTTCCAGAAAGAAGCTGCTTTGAGTCAAACTCATTTGTTCTCCCTCCTTGGGAAGTGAATAGAAGAAAAAAAAGAAAATAAAAATAATAATAATAATAATAATGATTTCATGAAGTGCATCCAAGTCTTTTTTGTCTCTATTTAAAAGTCAACTTATCATCTGATTTATCCAAGTATTATTTTACAGAGCTTGCAGATCATTTGCAGATCATGCAGTTAGTGGCTCTTCTTGATGGAATATGCTCCCGTTTTGTCTCCCAGTTGATTTAATTGTCAATGACAAGGCAGGATTCGTCTGGCTAGTTAATTTTGGGCATTCTCTCATCAAGTTGAAGGTTTGGGAGGGGGAGGTGAAGGGATGGGAGGGCTGGATGTGGACTCTGGTAAGCATTTGGTGACCTCAAACCAGAAGCATTATTGTCTGACTGTTGTTTTCCCTCTAAGCCCCACCGCCCCCCACAGCCCCTCCAACCTCAACCATTGTCAAACTGAACTGACACTGACACTGACACTTCCCCATCTCCTAGCTTTCAGCTGACAAGGCCCAAGACTGGCTTTTCCACTCCTATTCGCTCTGATATGTCTCTGGGTCATCTTTTAGCAGGAGGAAACTCCTTGATTTTTTTTTTTTTGTTCCACCCTCCCGCCCCCCATCATAGGCTAGGCTCGTCCCATTTTTTTTTCTCTTTCAAAAAGGAGCAGGTCCTGACCAGGGCATACACTTGGATGCCTGTGACCTTGCCTGTCACTATCCCTGATTCCTCAACACCAGAAAATGGCTGCTGGTGCACTCCAGCTTCAGTGTCCTAGAGGTTAACCCAGAGGTGCCTCACCTCCCACATATATTTTTTAAGACAAAGCTCCACTTCTTGTCAGCCAGAGGCTCGGCTTTCTGTGTGTAGCCTGAGGACAAATTAATATTTCAGTCCCCCGGGATCGGGAGGGGGACCAGAATTCACCTTCCTGTCAGCATTTCTACCTCAGGTCGTCCCCTGCTGTTTATTTATTGCAATTCCACTCCGCTGTCCGCTGAATACCTATTTGGCAGAGACGGTGATAGAGAGGTCACAATATTTGAACCAATCTGATTGGCTGTCAGCTCCAATCTGACCGACATGGCGCCCCTGTTCCTCGTGGGTATGCTTGGTGGCATTGGCCGCCATCCGTTGTCAGGCCAACATGAAAGCCAGAGAAAGTGGGAACGGAGGAGGAGGAAATGGAGGAGGAGGGGCGGGTGGCCAATCTGAGACTGCCACTTTCCCTCAGCATTAGCATCTCACTTAATGACCAGTTAAGAGGCAGCCTGGCAAATGAGTTGTGACAAGTGCTGCAGAAAAAGGAGTCTTTTTCCCTCATATCTCCCGCCTCTCAATCACCGTTTAAAAGGCTTGACGGCCTGACATAATTTCGCAATAATTATCACTCGGAGTATTCTTCTCGGGCCAGGACAGAAGTCAGATTGGATCTTGTCACAGCGTAATAATGCTGACCAACAATAACTTTGTTGTCTCTTCTCTCCTCTGCCTCGTCTTTGGCTTGATTCCTCAGGGAATGGGCAGCCAGGCTCCGCCAGCCAGTTTAATCTGGTTCAAGTGAAGCAGGAGCCTGTGGATGGTAACGCCGGCGCTCCACAAGATTCCCAACAGGAGCACAGCCTGGACCTGAGCAAGAAAGACCACAGGTATACTGACACTGCAAGCCATCCTAATTGATATATATATATATATATATATATATATATATATATATATATATATATATATATATATATATATATATATAAATATATATATATATATATATATATATATATATATATATATATATATATATATATATATATATTATAAATTATATATAATTATAATATATAATAAATATATATATATTATAAATTATATATAATTTATAATATATAATAAATATATATATATTATATTATAAATTATATATAATTTATAATATATAATAAATATATATATATATATTATAAATTATATAATTTATAATATTATATATATATATATATATATATATATATATATATATATATATATATATATACACACACACACACACGCACGCACGCACACACCCACATACACACACACCCCCACACACAATTTATCCTAAATGATCATTTGAAAAGGGAATTACAGTCCTATCCATAGCGGTTGAAAGCTCAAAAGATAAAACAGACCTAATGGACTCCATTTAGCCTTCCTGTTATCTGCTTCAACTCTTGCTCTCTGAAACCAAGGCTTGAGAGAGCAAGTCTTGAAACCTCACTGACTAATCATCATTTTATTACCCATGTTTTCTAATGTGACCTGCTAACACCATTCATTCATAATTTCTTTTCAATTATAAGAAAATATACTGTAAGCAAATAAAACATTTCTAGCCCAGCTATGATTGGCAGTCAATTATTTTTTAGGAGCAGAGGCAATGTCACATGATGTGTAAGACAGCAGTGACTGTTAAGCAAACTTTTTTAAATTAAAAATACTGATTTCACAGAAGTGATTTTTGTCACCTTTTTTAGAATGTGACCAAAAATCACTGAGAAATCAAATGCGTCTTTGTTTATCTCTACTTTAAATATTGTCCCCCCCCAAATTCAAACACTTCTACGTAAGTCAATTCATTTTCATCAAATTGATTTATCAATGATAAATCAACTCCTATTTATCAATAACCCTCTACCCTGCACCATGTTTCTCAGAAAGACAGCATTTTTCTTCTTCATTATACTTGCGTCCCTCCTATGATAAATAGTAATATTTACTATTCTCATGCAAATCTTGACTAAACATTGTTCATTTTCCTTGTTTCAGTAATGAATCAAATGGACACCCTGTACCAGGGAATACATCTCTTTTATCCTCGCTTATGAATAAGGTAAGATCCATCCATCAAACGCCTTTCATCTCAAGACAAATTAGCGGGACACGGAGGGGCCTGTTTGTTTTTTAATGTTTCACCGCTAATAAGATGAGTTTGTATCATTTAAATTTTCCAGCCATTTTTCATACGTTGTAATTTTCGCTGCACCTCTCACAAATTAATATAATGAAGCAGTAGCTCGGTGCCATGCCAGATATATAGAGATGTTTGTTTTTTGATGAGCTGTTCTGAACTTGCCTTCCATTTTTTTTCTCCCCTCCCTTTATACTTTAACTTCCCCGCCTCATTCTGCATTTATTTATAGAGTTTATAAATTATTTGATTAAAAAGTCAAGGGAGTAAAAGAAAAAAAAAAAAAACAAGAAGGCGCTGCCCTCATTTTTTAACAAGTCTAAATGTGAGCGTATGGAAATTTAAATGTTTGTGTGAAGATTAAAATGGACACGGTTTTAGCTATAAATCTTATCTGCCTGATATAAATGCGCTGGGTGGTTTCCATCACTGATGTAATGGCAGATTAGTCTCACTTTTTTTTCTTCCTATTCTCTCAACAACTGATCAAGACCTCCTCCCTCTTACTGTATGCTTCCCTTCCTCAAACACTCGTCTTCTAAATCTTCTTCTCAGACAGCTTAACTTCAGGCTTACAGTCAGTAAACACAAACAGCGGAGTTGGAGTTGTCTTACAGCTCCACTGTTGTGTCAGACTTCTGGGGTTTTGATTTGAACCACCGCATCACATGAAAAGGTTAACATATGCCCCCGGAGAACACTTAGCAAATACGCCTGGCCCAAACTCAAGCAGGCAAGAAACAAAAAAAAAAAAAAATGCCTGCCTGTTTGTAATCCTGGCTGCTCTCTTTTGCTTTGCCAAATTTCGGGTGTATTTGTCGGCTCGTTTTCACGCTCTCGCTAACATATGCGAGCGCTGCGCTCGCGGATGCTCTGCCAAAACTAAGCGGCTGGTAGCTCATTTGCCCTGTGTGTTTCTGTAGATGTCCCAGGTGAACCCTGCCCTCTTCAATGCCATGAACCTGAAAACCGAGCTGCAGGGAGGCCAGGTCCACGACACCTCTGAGGCAGCTCAGTACCTGCACAGAGTGCTGAAGAGGCCAGAAAACACCACTGAGATCTGGAAGACATACCTCCGCAGGTAAAGCAAACAAAAAAAAACACTTTCTGCACTGCGAAAAAAAGTATTTGCACCCTCACAGAGTCAACACAAGAAGTAGTTTTTAAAATTTCAGCTGTGAAGAGAAAAGAAGCTATCCAAACACGACAGGACCAATGAGAGAAGCAATTGCCTATTACACCTAAAAACTGGTTGTGCCACTCTTTACAGCATCAACTGCCATTAACTGGTTTTGTTAACTGGAAATGAGTCTTTTGAGTTTGGGCCTCTCTTGTTCACAGAATCAATTCATTCACAATTGATTCTGTAGCATTCAGGTCACATTATATCATTTCAGTTAGGTTTATAACTTTGACTATGCCACTCCAAAACATTTATTTTGTTGTTAACCTATTCATAGCTTTGGATCATTGTCAAGCTTTACAACCCATTGTGTACCTGTGGATATGATGCTGTTTTTAGTTGCTTAATGGTAAATGTGGAGTGGCTTTTTTATTTTAGTTGGTTTCGTTTTCGACCTCATGGAAAAGCTTTTGATGTACTCTTGGAGTAATTTTGGTTGGCTTGCTAATGCTGAGAAGGTTGACCTGTGATCAATGTTTTCTCGGTCTGGTTCACTGGACTTTCAAATGACTAAGTATAAATCTATAATCCTATAACTCTCCACACTGATACATATTTCTGAATTTGTTCTTACATCTACTTAGATCCGAGTATGATGTGTTGTTTTTCGTGCTTTGTCGTCTACTTTATGCTATCAGGAAAGTTTTTTCTTGACTCTTAAGATGAGACAGTATTCAGTCATCATTGTTGTTGGGGAAGCTGAAATCAGATTTCATAAAAATGTGGTTAATCACACTTAATTCGTGATCTAACAAGGGGGTGTGATTTATTTATTTTTTTTACTTTTTCACTAAGCTAAGTTGGTTCAGATAGGATTTCCCCCTTAATGAGTAAAACCATCATTTAACAACCAATTTTTCTTTGCTCTTATCTTTGTCTTGTACTAAAATCAGTTTGATGATCAAAAACATTGAAAAGTGACATAAAAGTGAAAACGGCTGAAATTCGTAAGCCGAAATATATATATATTAATAGCCCAGAATGACATTTGAAAGTGACAGTAAACTGTTCAGGGCATTTATCATTGTACATGACGTAAAGATTTATATACCAGGAAATCCCCCAAAGGCGTAAAGAATCCAATCTTGCAGGAATTTGTTTTGGCTTACCGTATGACAAAACTGAAAGTCTTTACTGAAACTGTTATGAGAAGCTGAACGAGTTGTCTTCTTTTTGGGAAAGCAGTACATTTACACGTCTTTTTTTTAAATCCTCCAATACAAAGGTTTGACACAGATGACTTCTGTGAGGCACAGTGTGACTTTCTCCATAAGGTGCACTTTCACTGCCTGGTAGAGGACTGTGGGGCCCTTTTCAGCACTGTGGACGGGGCCATAAAACATGCTAAGTGAGTGTCACACCGCTTCTTGTTTGGAAAATATGGCGCTTTGCTTTGCTGATCAGTATAAAAAAACGGAGGCCGCCTCCATCCTCTCTTTCAGCTTCCACCTTCGAGCCACCTTGAAAGTAAAGCCGGAGTCTCCGTTCAGTGACGGTAAAGAAGCCAGCGAAGCAGCTCCGCCGCAACCCGTCGCCCCCGTGTCTATAGCCAGCAATCCCTCCATGGACGTGGCAAACCTCACGTCCTCCGGTGGCTACAGCTCTCCTCCTCCATCACTGCTGGCCTGGAAGCAGCTGACCGGCAGCATCCCTCAGATGCCAGCCTCGATGCCCAACCTGCCCGCAAACTCGCCTCTGGCCACCACCTCCCTGGAGAACGCCAAGCCACAAGTCAAACCCGGTTTTCTGCAATTTCAGGAGAAGTATGTAGTGTATTTTACAGTACCTTACAAAAGCATTTTTACCACTTGAACTTTGTAATGTAATATTGTTGTCAGCATGCCACAATTACAAAACTACTTGGATTTGGGCATCCACATAAATGAACAAGCAAGACGAGGAGATAAACTTTCTCCTTGACTTGAAGGACAATTTAATCACTTTTATCAAATTATCTCGGGAGAATTTTATTTTAAGCCAGTAACCTACATAACCGTAGCTCTTTTTTTCTACAGTGATCCCTGTTTGGCTACTGACTGCAAATACTCAAACAAGTTCCACTTCCACTGCTTGTTTGGGAACTGCAAGTATGTGTGCAAGACCTCCGGAAAGGCGGAGTCCCACTGTCTGGACCACATCAACCCGAACAACAACCTGGTCAACGTCCGCGATCAGTTCTCCTACTACTCCCTGCAGTGTCTCTGTCCCAACCAGGTGAGTGCAGCTGGTTCTCAGGAGTGAGATCACTGGCTGTCATCTCTTGGAGGTTTCTAAGCATGAAGTATGCTATCTATTAGACCAGTATTTGAGCTTATTTGACTCAAGGCTTTCACAACCACTGCTCCTCGTCTTCCATCTCCGCTGAGAAAGACAGTCGACTCACCCCAGTAATGCCTGTTTATATGTCAATGATGTCATTTTGACTGCCGCATTCTCCTCTCAGAAAAGGCCAATTTAGCTGATATTACCCAATAAATCATTGTCACTTGCACAGTAAACAAGGCTGTCTGGAATAGGGCAAAAATCAGGGGAATGCTTGGCAAATCAAACCTAAATGGCATCCCCCCTGCCTGCTCTCATGAGCCAGTATTTCGAAAACCGTTTAAATGAATTCATTAATGTGTCGAAAATCACCCGTCTCACTGAAAGTCCCTCCCGCCACTCCCCTTCTCCTCCTTCTGCTCCCCGTCCGCCTCCTTTTAGCCTCCCATCTCCTGAACCGAGCGGATCTTATTTGGCCCAGTCCTCTGGGATGTGGGCCTCAGAAACAGATGGTGGTGCAGACACGAATGGGGGAAGCTTTTGACAATCTTAAAAAAAAATTATAATTGTACCTTAAAATAACCAGAAAATGGACGATGCTGCACAATAAGTGCATTGAATCCAGTTGGTCAGATTTTGGGGAGAGTATAGAAAAGTTTGGAATTTGATTTGAGTGTTTTTCTGATCTGGACAAGTCTGAATAAGAGACACTATCTGTTTTCATGTTTTATCAATATTTTCTCTTTTCCCTTCTTGCTTGTTGTTCTTTGTTTCTTTGTTTCTTTTTTTTTTTTGTTCAATCTGATTTATGCAGGGATTTTTTACAGTGAACTTTAATGTGTTCTAAAACAGGCTAACAAAATTTCAATCTAACTTTTGGCCTGAAAAGTCTGGAAGTTTTACATGAAAAATGCTTTGCTGTAGAAGCGCCTAATTTTTCTCCTTCTGTCTCGGCTGCAGCACTGCGAGTTCAGGATGAGGGGCCACTATCACTGTCTGAGGCCGGGCTGCTTCTTCGTCACCAACATCACCACCAAGCTGCCATGGCACATCAAGAAGCACGAGAAGGCAGAGCGCCGCGCCGCCAACGGCTTCAAGTACTTCACTAAGAGGGAGGAGTGTGGGAGGCTGGGTAAGAGCGAACATCCCTCTCATCCTCCATATGTAAGAAAACTTTTGAGCGGCTTTTGATTCGAGGATTAAAAGGAGTTACGCAGAGAGAGAGATGTACATTGATTTCTACTGGCTGTTGCAAGAGGATATTCTGTGTTTACAAAGGGAGAGAGCCCGGTGTTGGCAAACACAGCGTCGTGCTTTGTGAGAGCGGTTTAAAAGGGCACGAAACAAGGGCCCGCTTCGCAGATTTTGTCGCCGCGTTTTTGCATATTCACAATGCCGACCTCGAGTCCCAGAGGAAGTCTTGCCTGCGCAACTATATGAGCAATAATGTCAAAGAGGGCAATCACATCCAGGTTGTTTTCCTCTTTTCTTCTGCCGGCGTCAGAAATGAGCAATTAGGTTTGTGTTTGTTAATTATCTGGCTTGTCTGGTTGAGCCTGTTTGTGTTGCCTCTCAGCCGCCGCTGCCATCGCACAGAAAATGAATTAAAAGTGATCTGTTTTTCTTTTTTTTTTTCTTCTTTTTTGTTTTTTTTTTCTTTTTGTCAGATGGGTACACAAGCTTTTCACAAACAAAGCAAACAAAAACGGGCCCTAAACAGCTGTTTTTTGTCCCCACTCTGATCTGCCAACTGCATTGTTCAGGCTGGCGGGGGGAGAAAAAAAAAAAAAAAAAGGCAGAAAGGATTACCATCGCCGGCGCTCTAGTCATAAAGAATTGATGGGTTGCCAGTATCCATGGCAGCAACATTAAACTGAACACCGCTGATGTTGTTACCTGGTTTCTGTCTCACAAAAGGGCCTCTGTGTCACGGGGTTACTGTTATTTGCTCAACTTTGCGTGTCTGAAACCGGCGCGTGTGTGCAGGAGCTATTTGATGACACAGGCATGTTTTTCTCTTAAACCTGGTGCCATGGTTACTGACATGCTCGCACCTGCCCAGCATGTTACTCTTTCAATTATTTCTGCCTGCTTTTATATAATGGTATTTGATTAACAGGCACAAAAACGGAACAATCATTTAATTTGAAATCATAAAGCAATTAGAGCTAGACTAGTTTTAAAACAAGAGGAAAGAGCAGAAGACTGTGAAGCAGACAGCAGAAACAATTCAGAACAAAAGGAGAAACGACAACGAAGATACTTTGAGAAATGAATTTAATATGGTAATAATCGTATATTTACTTTGGTTTGGAGGGATGTGTGTGCATTATTGGCCCACAGAAAATGAGAATTTATTTATGTAAATTCCTAATTGAATAAAGCATGTCAGTGTAATAAAAGAGCTCCACAGGTTTAGTGCACAGAAGCCTTGACTTGCTCAGTGTGACACCAGTGATCTAATATTCCTCCTACATGTACACTCCGAAACACTTTGAAACCCAATCCCTCTTTTGTTGGAGCCATATCATGAAATTAAAAAAAGGAAGAAAAAAAATAGGACTAAAAATATTTCTCTTTGCGTTTAATCTAATCAGAACGCCCTCACGTTGGTAATGTGGCCTTTAGCGCTCTACTTACTTTCAGATGCCTCGCTACGCGTCGAAGACAAATTAATCTGCACGTTGAGAGTTTAAAGGGATAGTTCTAAATTTTTCAAACCTGCCATCATTTAATATCTGCTGGAGATAGCTTGCTTGATATCTTCCTTTAGAATACAGATTACTCAGTCTCAGAGACTAAAGCTAATTGCTAGCTCAAAACGAACCAAAGCAGACTTCTTATGTTTTTGGATTACTCCAGTCTCACAAACATCGTAGGATTTTACACCACTGGTATGTTATGTCCTCTGAACTGTCGTTGGAGGCTACTTACACAGAAGTAAAAAAAAACTATTTGCATGGGAAATGGCGATAGGAAGTGATGCATCACCAGTGGTTTTCTTGTGTGGATCCTGTATTGACAACGGATCATGTAAAGCTTCCTTTCAAATTAACTGTCTTAAATGAATAGTAGAGCAAAACAAATGAAATATGCTTAAACAGTTGTTTAAGCATATTAGTCAAAGACAAATTAAGAGTTTGTTTGCATTTCTGTAAAGGATAAATTCAGAGTTTGAATGTAAGTATTGATCTGGCTAGTTGGCTAAAGCTAATGGCTAATATGGCTCAGACCTAAACCAAACCTGACATGTCATGTACTGTCCTAAAGAAAACTACACTGACGCAAATCTTACAGCAAATGCTTTGTCATAAATCTTTAAACTGTCATCATGTTTGCATTGGGCTTTTATTTGAACAGAACCAAATGATTATGCAGGAAATAGTGGAAGGAGGAGGTGCACCACAAGTGAATCTTCCTGTATGGAACATGAGAACAGAACATGTAAAGCGTTATATTATATAACAGAACTGGTAAAGCAAATATATATATATATATATGTATGTATACATATATTTATTTCTTTAAATGTATATTTCTTTACATTTTATGTTGAGATTGAACTTGCTTTAATACCATCAAAATCTGCTTTGTTCTTTGTCCATCTTGGACTAGCTTTGAGCAGCATCCTCCAGTGACAAGCAATCACAACAGGCTTTACAGTGAAACTATTAACTGCTTACAACAATTCAACAGAACCTTTTAACAGTAAGGTCGTTTGATTTTTCTCCAGGTTGCAAATACAACCAGGTCAACAGCCATTTCCACTGCATCAGAGAGGGTTGCCAGTTCTCCTTCTTGCTCAAGCACCAGATGACCTCACACGCACGCAAACACATGAGAAGGATGCTGGGAAAGAACTTCGATAGAGTCCCCTCCCAGGTACGAAACACTACCAAGAGGAAGACATTCAAACCCAGTGTTCATCAAAATTTTTCTGTTTGTGTGTGCGCATGACTTGCATCGGGTTTCCTGTTCTATGAGTCAAATTCAGGGAAATATGTGGTGTTCTGCGAGAAAATAAGATAAATTTCTCATTTCCAGTCATACCAGTCAATGACAAACCCTTAATGACTGTTTTTTACAGAAATTTCCACACACAGTGGTGCGCAGGGCTGTCACACCTTTCCATCAGAGCACAGGATGTACCTTAAGCTCATTTAAGCATGTAGATTTTCTTGTTCTGTTTGTTTATTTTTTTTCTTCTTTTTTGTTCTGCTGCTTTCAAAAGACAAGAACATATTCTTTCAAAAATACGTCTTGAGAAATACTTGGTTGGTTGCCAACTGCATTATGACTCATAAAGCCTGTCTCGAATGTTTCTATACAGTTATGATAACTGTTGATGTTTGTTTTCCCTTAGGTGATGTCGCTCGGCCACAGGGCGGACGAGATGCAACACGCTTCTGGTTTGATGTCGGGGCCCGGGGCGTCTCAGGGGGGCCTCGCCTCTGGCTTCTCCTCCGCCGTCATGGACGACACCGATGACTACCTGGAGTACATGGGAGGAGGAGGCGGAGGAGGAGGCAGCCCCTTGGGGCTCTCCTCCGAGTCCTCCAACCAGGACCGGAGCTGCACCAGCACACCTGTGGGCAACGACAGCTCTCCTGCAGGTGAGGGCACGGTGAATTCAAAGACGCCAACTCACACATTCGGCCTCGCTCACGTTAATCTCAGCCATGTTGTTACTCAAATGTGTCATGATTCAGTAGTTTGGCTTACAATCAATAGACGCGAGTCATAATAACTTCTGAGGTTGATGACATCGCAGCATTCTTTCCTCCTGATTCGTTGACGAGACGTGCGGCGTTTTGCTTTGTCATCGTCATAAAACATCCATTCTGTACATCAGTGGTTATCGACCTGAGTGTACTTTATCACATCTTCTTCTGGCCTGACATCATCCCGTCAGCTTTAGCACTTGTAAGTTTGCTGAACTATGTGAAGTGTATCTTTTTGTTCTTCTCTTGTTTGCGCTAAATCTTAAGCCTGGCTGCAATTCTCGCATTTCTACACGGGATGCAGTTACGATCCACGACTCTCATCACTGTTGTTTTGGCTGGTGTTTGGGTTACTTGTCTTTGAATGGGCCTCATTTTGTATCATTCTCTTATCTTTTATCTTTCTCCTTTTTTTACCTCCCATCCCTCTGTGTGTGTGTGCGTGTGCGTGTGTGTGTGCGTGTGTATCTGTATGTGTGTGTGATGCGGCCCCTTGTTTTGGTGTACTTGTTTTTCCCCTCTCGCCTGTCCTTCACCCCCTTCTGGTCAACCTGTCTCTCCAGGACAAGGCTACCCCAACACCTCTTCTGCTCCCACCACCCCTGCTGACACTAGTGCTACCCAAAATGCGCCTCCTTCTTCCCCTCCTCCACCACCTCCTCCACCTCCTCCACCTCTTCCTCCCTCCGCTCCTCAGCCTGGCCTCCAGGCCCAGGCCCCGTCTCTCCCTCCCGCTCTTCTCCGACCTCCTCTGCCCTCGCTCCCATACCTCCTCTCTCCATCCTGTCTGTCATACTCTCTGCTCAGCGCCTCTGGGAGCACCTTTCAGCCACCAGAGCCGCCCTCTCAGTTAATGACGTTCATGTACAGGATGCTGCAGGTACTTATCCAAACCAACACTGCAGCTGTCACTCTCATTTACTGAGCCCTGTGCAGAGTTTTAACAGTTTATATATATATATATATATGTGTATATATCAGAATTAGTGAAAGGTTTATGTACACTCACCATCAGCATGCATGTTATTTTAATTTTGGGCCTCTGATGATGAGATTGAACTGTTTAGCTTCAACGTTTTTTGAAAACACAAATTTGATTTTTGTTTTTTTTTATTGTTTTGTGGAATTTCTCTAATCCAAACAGAGTCATAATTATACATATATGCAGGTTAAAATGTGTAAATATACACCCACAGTGTTTGGATAAATGTGATTTAAGTTGCTGAAAACCTTCACATTCTGTAGCCGTCAACAAGCTGATATCAATTCGAAAATCAGCTTTAAAGTTCTTTTGGGGTCGTCTTGATATTGGACCACCAAACCGTCTCTCCTGAGGATAATCTGAAGATTTCCGAAGAAATCCCTGGTTGTGAAATAGTTCTGATGCTGCCACCACCGTGGTTGACAGTTGGTTCAGTTGTCTAAAAGCTCCGTTTTTGCTTGCCCAAATCAAAATACCATTATTCACAAGGGATTTACTTGGAATGTGAGGTGTTTATTTTGGATCAGCCTGACCTCATTCCATCACGGCACAAAACTTGCCTTAGTATGGAGAATGACGCTGGTGCTCCAGCTGTTTGCATTTCATACCAGGTTGAACATTGCAGGATCGTTGGTTTTTCCTGAACATTTTAACCAGTTCGATTGAGATGGTTGAAACCTGGATAGAACTGGATGTTCTAACAGAAATCAAATCATCAGGCGTCTACGAAAGCCCACTGACCTGAAATCGCTATAAAATTGCATACAGTCTGTAATTTGCGAAGTAGAGTAGTGTTTGTGGCATTATCACGTCCTGAATAAAATTAAGGAAGTGCTTTGTTACAAAAACATAAAGGCACAGAATTATTAATGCATTCATGCCCATGATTAGTATATCGAAACTTCTCACCAGCGCTGTGCTATGCAGCAACAGGATAAACATGCATTCTTGCTCTAATGACACATCGGTGTGTGCTTTTACTTTTGCACCGAGAGACAGAGCAGTAAATTTGGCACCTGTTCCACGAAGCCTGGGCCTTGTTTAGTCTCCATTAACAAGGCTGCATCAGCAGCTTCTTATTTTAATCACGCCTCAAGTTTTATCGAGGCCCACTGTTTCCTGTCGTGCAGAACAGGGATCGCATCATTAGCAGTGACCCCAGGGTGCCGCAAAAGGTGGGTGCCCGTCATAAAACAACACATAGATAAGAGGGTTGGTTAGGACTCGCCGCTCCCTCTTTTGTTTGGGGGCTGGAGACACTCTGTAAAAGTGTCATGTTCCACAGTCAATCTATCATCCTTTCCCCACTCCTTTAATCATTCTGGGAGTTAGGAAAGGGAAAAGAAAAAAAAAATATGGCTTTGTGCGCTTACTCAGCTGCGAGCCACTTCTGGCTGGGGAGAGTTCAACATCAGAGTTTTAACCCAGACAGTAATTTGCTTGTAGTTTGTGGGTTTTACTTTGTGAGCCAAACTGATTACTCTTTAATGTGCTCGCTTCTTTTCTCCAGGCAACACCATCTCCATTCCCACGGCCACCGGCGCCAAGAAGCGCTTCTGGATCATTGAGGACATGTCTCCGTTCGGCAAACGCCGCAAGACCCCGTCGTCTCGGAAGATGCTGGACGAGGGGATGATGCTGGAGGGCTTCCGGCGCTACGACCTGTACGAGAACTGCAAGGACTCGAGCTGCCAGTTTTCCCTGAAAGTGACCCACTACCATTGCACGCGCGAGAACTGCGGCTACAAGTTCTGTGGCCGCACCCATATGTACAAGCATGCGCAGCACCACGACCGCGTGGACAACCTGGTGCTGGACGACTTCAAGCGCTTCAAGTCCTCGCTCAGCTGCAACTTCCCCGACTGCCAGTTCTCGGGCAACAGCACCCACTTCCACTGCCTGCGCTGCGGCTTCCGCTGCACCGACAGCACCAAGGTGACGGCCCACCGCAAGCACCACGGCAAGCAAGACGTGATCAGCGCCGCCGGCTTCTGCCAGTTCAGCTCCAGCGTCGACTGTGAAGTTCCCGACTGCAAATATAAGCTCAAGTGCTCGCACTTCCACTGCACCTTCCCCGAGTGCAAGCACACGGTGGTGGGGATGTCCCAGATGGATTCCCACAAGAGGAAGCACGAGAAGCAGGAGCGGGGCGAGCTGCCATCCGTGTCGCCCAAGCAGGAGGGGTTGCACCACCTTGTTGGGAGCATGGCGCCGGTTGCTCCCACCTCACTGGGCGTGACAACGTCCTCCCCAGGCGGCCTCCACAGCCTGTCCCATAACATCAATAGCAGTGTCCCCTCCATGATCTACCAGCCAGGGGGCCTCGCCTCCGACTACAACCACTCTTACCCGCCGTCCTCCATCAGCCTAGACAGCTCCCTCAACCTGAGCACCAACACCAGCAGCTCCCTGTTCTTCCTGAAGAACGCGGCCGGTCTGGGCCTCAGCGACTCGCTGGATCTCAGCAAGAAGTTGCACCTCGACGCGGCGCGGCCGGCACACAACGCCAAATCCCAGCTGGACGACACGGGGACGTCCGGAGAAGCTGAGGACGACCTGTCGCCGGACGAGGAGGTGCACGCCGAGGAGGAGGATGAGGACGAGGACGAGGAGGAGGAGGAAGAAGAGGATGACCTCAACACTGACTCGAACGACGACTCAGCGCAGGAGCCTGACGGCGACAAGGACAACGGCGAAGGCTTCGGTGCTTCCGTAAACCACATTGATACTTCCCAGTTGCAAAAGCAAGATGCTGACCCATAAAACAATCAAACCCAGTGGGGACTGTAGGAACTGCAGAAACATTCTGTGTACCACCAATAAACAGGAAGTGGCCTCATTCATCACGCTCAAAAACAACAACAGCAGCGGCGCCGGTGTGACAGAAAACGACGGGCCCACCGAAACGATTCATCGAGATGTTTACAAAACGACCAACATTATGAATTCAATTATGCATTAAAGAAAAAAAAACGAGACAGAGACAAACAGATTTTGGGCAGCCGTGTAAAGCATTTTACTACACATCAGTCTTTTTTGTGTGCGTGCATGTTTGACTTTAATTTATTTTTATTTCTTTCACATTTTTTGTGTGTGGAAAAAAAAACACTTCACAAAAAACAAAAACAAATCTCTCTATATAACTATATATGTAGGTGTGTGCGTGCGTGCGTGTGGGTGCGTGTACGAATGATGATTATTGAGAAAAAGGAAAATTTCTGGCAACATGAACTGCAAAGAAAAAGGGATGTGAATCACTAAGAGGAGCAGGATGTGTTTCATAATTTGATCTTTAGTTCTGTATTGTTATTATCATATTTGTTATTATTAATTATTGTTATTAGACACTGAGAGAAAGGAGCTACTTGTTCCATTCTCTTTGGTATACTTTGTTCTCACATGGGATTGACCGACAGTCGGCTCTATCTCAGCCTCAACAGTTCTCTCTTCCTGAAATCTGCTAAAAAAAAAAAGCCCAGTGCAAGCGTACTTTGTAACCCGGCCCACCACCTCGAGTGGAGGAATCAAGTTTGTGCGTGAATAGTGCACTTTTATATTATCTGACCACGAAGAAAATGGAGATGACAGATAACTCATGAATATGTTTAACAATGTTTTTGTTAACATTTGCATCTTTTGCATCAAAATTTATTTTTTGTTTTGTTTTTTGTTTTGAGATCATATTGACGTTCGAGCGAGGCAGGGTGGTTATGACGTTCAGTTTTGGGGGGAGGGGGTCGGATGCAGCCACATGGGAAGCATCAGGGAAGTGTGTTATATGTTGAAAATGTACAGACCGAAAAAAATGTCCAGCTGGCATTTTTTTTTTCTATTTTTTTTCCATTAACTATGGCTGTGGTTGAGCTCCTGTTGTAATGCTTTTTATTTAATATTTATGTGTTCTTCCAAATGAGAAAAAAAAATTTTAGGGTGTTATTGCACTTTTTAGGTTCATTTTTACCGTCTGAAACAATAACAATTAAAAAAAAAAAAGAAATTAAGAATGATATATATCATTTAACAGGGAATTTGCTTTAAAGATGTTTTAGTTCACTTTTTTTTTTTTTTTTTTGCTTTTATGCACAAATAGATGTTAGTGTGACAACAAACTGTTGTTCTGTGGTTTATTTAAAAACTTTTTCTTTTTTGCTTCTTCTGTGATTGGACGGTTTGAAATTATATATATATATATATATATATATATATATATATATATATATATATATATATATATATATATATATATATATATATATATATATATATATATATATATATAAAGGAACTGTGTCGCGCCAAAACATAAATAAAGAAAAGGCGCCTTCTGATATGAAACACTAAGATGAACTGTGATTTTTAAAGAATTCGTAAAATGCTTCGCTTATTGTAGCGCTAAATTATAAATCTGTCAGAACCTCGCTTTGTTTTTTTTTTTTTATTGAGCAAACTTGTACGACTGACGAGTGGACACACTGAATTATCTCCTGAGCTTGGCATTGGAAATAAATGATCATGATATAGGGAATAATAATAATAATGTGTGTAAGTGATATTCCTCCGGATATTGTTTTGAGAAGAAAAAAAAAGGGAAAAAAAAAGGTTGTACAGTATTTTCCTCTGTAAAAAAATACCTATATATGAACAAAATGCTCTTTGATGAACGGGTTCCTTTAAAGAAGAAAATCCCTAAAAAGGAGAAATGACTAATAAAAAAAGGTTAAAGATTCGAATAGCCTCATTATAGTTTGCTTGTGTGAGTCAGCTTTTTATGTTTTCGCTCTTCTTTCTATTTTCCAAACTCTGCCAGAAGCTCAAAACTCAAATACACTGATCTGAATTCATTCCCTGGTGTTTCCTGTTTATTTTATTTACTTCTGCTCTTATTAGTTTGAAATTCTCAGTTTGTCTCCACTTTGCCCATCTTCGCTCACAGACTGAACTGCCTCCTCAACGTTGTTGCAAAGCGGGAGCTGCCATTTGTTTTGTTTTCTCATCAGTTACCGACATAACTTGGATCCCGTGTGTGTGCACGCACATGTGTGTGTGCGTGTGTGGGTGTGTGTGTGTATGTGTACAGAGGAGTAAAATGTTGAGGAAAAAAAATAAAGAAACTGTAATTATTATGACAGCGAACATGTAGTATTTGACAGTGATCCAGCCTGAGGACATTATGGAGTGGAAAAGTGCATGAGGAGGAGATTTATTTGGCAGGGATTGGAACTACAGACCTGTGGTTCTGTTCTCCATTTCAGACCAGCATCCTAAGCACCAGTTGCGAATATTTTCTGTTTTATTGAAACCCAACTGGAGGATTTTTCTCACTTAATTGAAAGACGTCAATTGAGAACTGAAGAAAAAACAGCAAGAATAGGGGCAAAAAAAATCAGAGCTTCTCCACTTCAGAACCTTTTGCTTCACAAAAGTATTCACACCCCTTAAAAGTTTTTTTTTTTTCATTGTATCACCACAACCTGTTCCAATTGGATTTCATGTGATAGATTGACACAAGATAGCACATCAAGGTGAAGCTGAATTAGAAATGTTCTTTTAGATTCACTTGAAATTAGAAAGGATATGCCGCAAATGCAAACTTATTGATCTCGACTGGATGCACAAAGAGAGGATTAATTAGAGAACCAACAGACAAGTCAACTCTGGATGAGCTGCTGAGATCAGCAGTTCAGGTGGGGAATCAATAGTTAACTTTGAGTCAAGTGTCTTTTTCAGTCTGGCTTTCATTGAAGACTACTGAAAAAAAAAGGCATGGTAGAAAGGAAGACTCAAGGAAAAGGTCCTTTGGTCAAATGAGACCGAGCTGGAACTGACATACTCAACATGTGGAGAACGCTCCGTCCCCACAGTGAAACATGATAGAGGTGTATCATGGTGTACTATTAGAACGGACTAGTCAAAGTCCTGCGGTAGATTCCAGTTTGGACTCAGCAGCATTCATCTTTCATCTTGTTGAGTAAATGTGTTAATCTGTCACATAAAGGCCACATAAAATACATTTGCTTCTGGTTGTTACGTGACACAATAGGAAACGGTTTACAGGGCATAAATACTTTAAAGACACCGGCTCTCTGCAGCGCAGTGCTATCAGGGTGCATTTTGTTTTATTATTTGGTTGATTTCTTTTTTTCTTCTTCTCCTTTTGGCCCTGAGGCGTGTGCTGAGTTCTCCTCCCACTCCCGCATGTCATCCAGAGGCCAGTGTGCTGGCTGTCTCTGTCGCCTCGTCTACAGCTGTTCCTGTTCTTCCTTCTTCTCTTCCTTCTGATGTGTTTTTTATTAAAAAAAGAGAAATAGCTGCAAAAAAAAAAAAGAAAAAAAAAAGAAAAAGAAAAAGGACGGGTAAAGGCATCGCCATCTGTCAGCCAGCTGGCATCCTGTATATAAATAAAAAGGAATAAACATTAAAATCAAAACCAGACAGAAATGACCTCCAAAACCTGCATAGGCTGCTGCTGCTGAAATGATCATTTTACTGCTTTAATTAACAGATTAAAAGGATGGCGTAAAAAAGGCGATGAAGAAATAAACAGGCCTTTTTCGAGTGCTGCAGAGCTTTCACAAGACAGCCGCCGTTTCATTTCACATTTTGTAAAACTTATTGCACTTTTAGATTCAAGGCCATCTGTTGTTGGCATTCAGTTTGGCTGGATTTATTGAAGCTTTTGTATATGTATGTATATATTTAAAAAAAAAAAAACGATCTACAATGAACTTTGTTGTTTTTTGGGGGGTTTGTTTTTCTTCTTAAATACACGTTGAATTTTTCTCTTCTGCTCTACTTTCACTTTACCCTCTACTTGCCTATTTCCACTTGAGTCCGGTGCTGTTGATCCACATTGTGCTATATTTTTTTGTTTTCATTTCATTTCTGCACGTCCGATTTGGAGATACGCTTTTACTCCCTGAAATAATAAAAAAAATATATATATAAAAAAAACCCAAGCTGAATACCTTTAGGCATGTTTTCAAGCGTCGATGTGTTTCAAAAGGGAAACTTCTGTTTTTTTTTTAACGAAAACAAAACAAAAAGAAACAAAAAAAACAACAACAAACCTAGAAGTTGCACATGTCGTGAGTGCCAACTGTGCGTGGGGGGCTGTTACCTGACACGCGGCTGGTTGATGTGCCAGGAACAGGTTGGGTGAGCGTGTGAGCAACGCGGAGAGGCAACAGTTGAGGCCCGGGAACATCCAACGACAGGTGTGTGCTGCATATGCGGTCACATGATGCCTATGAGGCAGATTAGGGCTCAAACAGATGAAGCGCTGCTTAATGGCAGCTTTTATTAAGTTCACAAAGCGGGGAGGGGAAGGACGGGCAGGAGGGGGAGAGGAACAGAGGAAAAGCAGGTGGCCGGGCCTGCGCTCGCCTTGATGAAGACAGATATTGTTGAGCGCAGTCTGAAGAAGGGTGGCGCGCTGTGGGAAGGATTTATGGAGATTTGCGTGCCCCTGGACCCGCCGCCTGCCCGTTCCCGAGTCCCGCAGTAATAGACCCGAGAGCGGGAAGAGCTTCAGAGAGGAGAAATGACAGCAGACCAAGAAAAGGAAGGAGGAGGAGAAAGCTTTAAGAGTTGCTGAGCTGGTCGCTCTCTGAATGAAATAATATACATATATGTAACAGGAGCAAGTGTTCAAAAATAAGGACTGGTTCAATGGTAACATGCAGGACAGTATTGTCTTTGTGTGTGATGAAATTACTACTATAAGATAAATTAGACCGTTTTAAAACCAACATTTTGAAAACAAATTCATGTTAAGAACTGATATTCATTTCACGTTTTATTTCTGCACAACACTATATGGTGTTTGCAATCTGATCTGCTTTTAAAGACATTTTATTTTGCATATCTAAATATAGAGTTACTATAATTCACAGAAATCTGAAATGGGTTTACCTGATACTTTTGAAATGAGGCTTACATCAGGTTAATGTATTACTGTAAGGTTTATTCAAATGCTTCTTCTGACATATTCAGTCCCTCGGTCTAACTTTTTCTTTTATTTTACTTGGGATGAAAAAATAAACAAAACAGAACAAGAGCCAAGAAAAGTCCAGGGACAATATGGAGGGAATAAAATGTTATTCATAGAGTGAGCTTATGCAAATACCGACAGACAGACAAAATAATCAAGCTCAGTGAAATTTTAACTTATAAATGGCAAGTGATTGTTTAAGAAATGAATACAACTGTTTTAGTAAATGAGGAATTGATCAAACCCAACTCTGCTTGTCTGGTGAGGAAACTTGGAAAAAAAATATGTGGATTTATTACAAAGACACTAAAAACCTTAATGATGAACGAAAACATAAAACTAAAGCAACTGATTTAATAAAAATCTAGTTCCTGGTAAAATTGTTCATAATTACAGTAAAACTAATAAAATCTGAGCAAATAAATAATTATGAACTCTGACCCAAGGGTCAAACTGAAACGATCCACTCAAGGTGTCCTTCATCTCTGAAGGTTTGATGAATCTCTTCTCGCTGGTATTGATGTCATAAACTGAAAAATGCAACAAATTTATTTCATTTCTGCATTTCTTTTTCTGACACAGCAGTATGTTTCACACTTAAGGCTCTGATTAAATTTAGCTACTTGAAATGGTGAGGGAGACCAGAAGCAGAATTATTTTATTTAGTCCAAAAGCTCTCCGTTGTTAGAATCTGATGGCGGTTCATGAATGCATGATTGATAAGGCAGCACTTCACCTGGTTATAAATCCAGCCTGATGAAGACAAAAGGGTTGAATTACTCGCAGTGAGAGTAATTCAGCATATAAAGCGCTGGTCCTTCAGTCAGTCCTCAGCTATTCCTCAAAGAGGTTCCAGTAGTTAGCAGCACTGGCACCTGATGCATACAGACAGAAATGAGGGTCACTGCAGTTTGAAGAGACAGAGAAGATGTCACAGACCGTCAAGCCAACTTGCAAGTCACATCAGAGTTTCTTCTGAATGGGATTTCAATCATGGGACTGTCATTTTATTTACCTTTGTACCTATGTCTCTTAAAAAAACAAAAAACAAAAAAAAACTGCATGTAGAAGTAAATAGTAATCAATGGTAATGTACACTAAAAATGTATTCTGTGTTTAACTACTTATTAGTTAAACACTAATTAATTAGGGTACCTGTACAAACATGTCAGGTAATATAATAAACTACAGACAACAATATCACTAGTATAGATTTAAAAAAAAAAAAAAAACTTCACCACAGATGACTGCGTTTAACATGGTCAATCAACTGCAAAGTTGATTACCTGAATGTTTTAGTAGCTATAATACTATTTGAACTAGTTTCCATGGCATCTGCCACCAAATGTTACAGTCATTTCCAGATAGTTTTTTGCTTTTTACATTGCAAAAATTGTTACATTGTTTCATATATTATATTATATTATATTATATTATATTATATTATATTATATTATATTATATTATATTATATTATATTATATTATATTATAGCTTACAGAATTGAGGACTCCCAACAATAAATATTGATGGATAAGCCTCGCTGCTGCGCAGAAGTTATCTGTTTACAGAATACTAATAATATCAGTGGAAAGTTGAGTGGAAGAAAGAAGTAGAGCAGAAAAGATTTTATTTTTTATTAGAACTTATATACCTTTATTTTGGGATGGCCCTCCCACAGCCCTGAATCAAGTTACCCTTTTAACAATAATATTCCTTTTACATGCTTTTATAATCCTCTGGAAGGTGCCTGCATCATTTCATATGACAAACAAACTATTTGCCAGGAATTTGAATAATTTAGGACCGAACTATCCAAAATTATAAAATGGTGAAATCTTTACAAGAGAGCTTGACAGCTGTCTGATTTAGACAGAGTGATGCTGCAGCTGATATATGAATCACTTGTGTGATAATCATCAACATTTTTTATGCCTAAAATGTAATGCCGTCCAGGCCTCTGAAAATAAGAGAGCCATTTCGTAGCACGAGTCCAACTCATAATATCTTTGTTGTCGATGCACCCACAGGTGTGGAGTGTCCAGAGTATTGCTTATATATAACATGTCTGCCCCGCTCATTTTACTGCTTCATTGGACCATTTATAGTTCAAGATTTTGGATGAGATCTATGCCTCTCATCTCTCTCTGCGCTCTGCCCCTGTCAGACCCCTCTTTAAATCCCCTGCCCTTTTGCAATAGATGTTCATTTATCTATTTTTGCATGTGTATGAGCTTATTTTGGAAAGACCTCAGTCACACTGCAAAAAGAAAAAAGAAAAAGAAGGGGGGGGCAGGCTGTGAGAAAAAAAGGAGCTTTGCCATTGGTAGCAGCTGTTGCTGCTGAGACACCTCGGAGGAAATGGAGAATTGGACGCACACTCATCCAATTTACCATTAACAAGACCTTATTGGATGCAGGCCCCTCCGAAACATGTGGCTTTGCCTTATGTGGCTCTGCTCCTACATATGCGCTGCTGTTCCTCTTGAATACATGTGACAGAGGTCTGTGATATTACTGGCATCTGAGATCTGGGATCAAAGAGGGACAGACAAAAAAACAAAAAAAACAAAGGTAATTCAAAAGAACAGTATAGTCTCTGTGACAGTCTAGAAAAATAAAGTTGTGTTTAAAACTTTAAGAATAACATGGATTTCCACATATTTGGAAAATAAAATGGCTGCAAAAGGAAAGTCTGACATGCAGCATGAGACCGTTTCAAACATCAAACGCTCAATCTGGCCCACAAAACGTACGATTTCCGGGAATTTTATAGTTTCCACATTTATGCACAGCCACATTAAGGGAGCAAGGTTTTGATTGAGCTTTTTTTTTTTTTTTTTTTTTTTTTTTTTACAAGAACTGACTTCATGTTCTTTCCACTTTTTTTTCCTCTTACAAATATGCCATCTTTTGAAGATATTATTGGAAACAGTACGATACCTGCATGTATTCTCTACATTACGATTTTGTTCTCTGTTCCATAAACACGTCACATTCTTCAGAGAGCAGTGTGTATCTAGAAGGAATCTTTGCCTTTCAACACATTTTCAGAAAGGACACATAGATAACAACCCTGGTTGTTCTCACAGTTTTTTGCCAGAATGTTCAGTTGATGAAAACAAATAGTACTTCTGTTTTTTACCTCCAAAAACCAGAGAAACTGGATTGAGCTCCGGGCTCTGTGCGCACATGCACACGGAGCTGAACAAAGCGGCCAGAAACTGCTGATCTGATCATTGTGGTGATGACTCACAACATTTTTATTGTTTTTCTTTGAAAAGCTTAAATCGTTTTTTGTTTTTTATGTCCACACAATGATGTCAGGGTTTATTACAGGGCAGAATTTATTGTTTATTTTTAAATTCAAATCCATGAGGCTTTTTGAACTTCCAGTGCTTTCACTATTCGCACCTTCTAGACTTTCACACATTTTGTCACATTAGAGCCATTTGGACGATAAGAAAATTTATCAATGGCTTTCAAAGTATTTTTCAAATAAAAATCTGGAAAGTTTGTATTCGGTGTCTTTTAATCTGATACTGGTCAGTAAAATCTTCAGATGAAGAGTATCAGCTTTTGTTCGATTGGAATGTGGTGTGGACTTTGACTCGGCCATTATAACATTGAACCATGCATTGATCTGAATTGTCCCACTGTATCTGTACGGCTATCAACTCTAGCCTCAACCTCCACAAAGCCCTGGATACTGTAAATCATGAGCTACTGTTAAACAAATGATCATTTCCTTAATCCTTCCGCCGTCCTAGCGTGCCGCTCTGGAGGGCAACGGCAAATGTCACGGTCAGACAGCAAGGGGGTTTGAACTGTCAGACTGTCAGTTTTCGAAACCACATCCAAAAAACCTTCATAAAAGTGCACACAGGACCAGTGTTACCCTGTGTAGAAACCACAGAGGTCCAAATAACCTTGGTCTTAAGAAGCCAACTTCTTAAGACCAAGGAAGGCTTTCATATAAACATGTAATATTGGATAAATGATAGGCAACAGTGTGCAATGGTTAAAATGTGAATGTCTCCTTTAAAAACATGTAATGTGAATGTTAAGTCACAGAGCTCAATGTTAGGTCTACTGCTTTTTTCCTTATACATCAAATAAATTTGTGTGTAAAGCAAATACGGTTATGTACGCTGATGATACTGTAATATATTATCATAATGAAACTGTAGAAGACGTTTTCCATGCAGGTTTCCATTTGGTGGAAAAAATGCTTAAGTGCGTAAGTCCACTTCAATGTTTTTAAGAAATTGCCACTGACTTCTTAATTGTTCCTATGCATTGATAAAAGTCAAAAATTAAAGAATGTCAATGAATTCAAATAGTTGGCTATTGCATTTAATCCATATTTAAACTAAAGAAAAAGCAACATTAAAATGATCAAACATATTCAAATGAAATTTATGAAGTTGTAGATCTATAAGAAACACATAAATTAGGACTCTATATAACTTGACTGAGCACCGAGGAGGTAATTGAGGCGTTTGGTGAAGGCGTGGTGGACCAGGACACATCTCGAGGCTTCAGGACATTGATGATGTCCTGGGCTACGGATGACGGCTGCAGTCGTGTCACTGACCTAAAAATTTGGGAAAATGCTGCTCTGGGCACAAAACGCACTTCTGTTCCCTAATCCAACAAGGACACATTTTCATAGAAGGGGAGGGTGTCGAGGCTGAAGCGTGAATTGCGGCACAATGGATGTTATTGGTAAACACCCAGTTGTCATGCTACCAAAAACAAACAAAATTCCCAATGGAAAGATTAGCTCTGAGGCTCCTTTTAAACAGCGTGTGAAAAATGAGCCTCCTGTCTACCCGGTTACATAAATGTTTACTGAGAAATACCAAACATTGTGTTCTATTTGTTTTACTTTGCTTGTGGTTTGACTATTACTGTAGATTAGTCATCACCAGAGTTAAACAGAGCCCTGCAGGGAGAACAAACACCAAGCAGCAGGCTGCAACCAGGAAGACGTGTTTGAAATGGTTGATCCGTGCTGGCCCGTAGCCACGTGGCTCATTACATTTCAAGTAGTTTGCTGCAGAATTGGACCAGGGGTCTTCAAAGTTGAGTGGGGGGACCATTTAATCACTTCATAAGTGTGATCCAAAATGAGAGAGCTTAAGGCAAAAAGTCAGATGGGCCATCTCTCTTTCTCTCTCTCTCTGTATGTGTGTCAGTAGCCAGAATGATTTTTTTTTTTTTCGTTTTCATTGCGCTTCAGCTGAGCGCTGAAACCAAGGCCTGCCGCCTCTGCTTCTGCTGCCTTTCTTGGCAAACGGAGAACTTCTTAAGCACTAAGCTGTAAATTTGCTTAATTTGACATGAGTCCGAGGGGAACAGGATCATTTTCTTTCGGGGGAGGGGGAGGAGAAAAAAAGCCTGGCATATTGGCTGACAATAAGCTGAAATGGTCCAACATGGTGTTTCTGCCGCGTGACGACGGCTCGAACACGGAACAAGACGGCGTTCAAGAGAGCCGTAAAACCGTTTGAGTCTGGCACCGGCGCCCGGGTGACTCATTTTCATGTTAATGACGAGAAAGCCTCTCAGCTGTAATTTCCTAGAGACAAGAAAAAGTAAAAAAAAAAAAAAAAAAAAAAACTGACTACAAAGCGCCTCGGAGTGGTTCATCTGCTTGCAGACACGAGGACGTAAGGAACTGAGAGAGAGCGCGTACGCACCGGGATTAAGCCGCTTCGGCAGCTTCCTCTGTTTCTCGTGAAAAAGCCTCAAATATATATGGTTGCAAAACGTTCCAAACGTTTCTCTGTTTTCGTTTTGCTTTTGAACGGTCAACAAAAAAATAAATAAATAAATAAAAATAAAAAAAAATGAAGTTGGATGGAAAAGCACAAGGCTTTGGTTACAGAAGTTGAAGCAAAACAGAAAGTATTTGCTGTACATGGGAGTCATGAATTCTATTGTGGGGGAAAACCTGAATCTCAAGCAGGAAACTGAGATGAAAGGAACAGTTTGCTTTGAAAAGACTATATGGTGGATTTATTAAATGACATGAAAGTCATTCCTTACAGTTGAAACCGGATAGTCACATGCACTGTATAAATAGAAACATGACCTTTCTTTTCTTGCTTTCTGGCATTCAGTCAGACCAAACTTTTCCAGTATTTGGGCAATTAGGAGTAGTACAATTATTTACATGTTTGTGTTACATGTTAAATTGTTAGCGGGCGTCTCCGTTTGTCTCCAAGAGAAAAACAAAAACAAAAAACTTCATCAGAGTCCATCCGTCCATCCCTTTGTATAAAGAAAAGTGGAAAACAAGGGTCTGGTTTTTGCCAGGTCTACTGTATATTTACATCTAAAAGCTTTAGTCTCTTTTTAAATTATTAAAGTTCATAAGTGCCATTGCTAAAGGTCAATGGCCTTTAACAATGGCCATTGCCAGGTTGCAGATGCTTGGTCTAAGTGAAACTCGTTGATAACTTTTGCACCGACCTACTCTGACAAGCAGCGAAAAACCACCCTCATTTTCCCCATACAGAAGTGTCTCAGGCAGTTCTCCGCTGGGCGAGATACTGACTTTACATCCTCTCCACAGAACCCCACTTAGAAAATTCACCTCCAGCATATAAATCACGAACACTGCAGTAAGTAAAACAGGGCGTCGAGTCTCTTTTCCAGGATCTAAAAATATATGAAGTCGGAAAAAGTTCACGAGTTCCTCGTGGCCGGTCACCAAATCAAAGCGTATAGCATGTAAATGCATCACAGTCCGATTTATTTCTGCTGGATGACTTCTGGATATTGCGAGGCTCAGATCAACTTGACGACAGCCTTTAAAAAGACTCGTTTCAGTATCACAGCTGTGACCTTCATAAACCAGAGCGGGGCAACAGGTGGCCATCATGTGTGCGCTAATCTTCCACATTATGGTTGTTGATAACAGACACTGCACACCAGCGCTCAGTTAAAACTCAGTAATTTAATATGGAATACATCAGCAATGCGATATTTGTAGCATGGAAGAAGCAAAGGTTGGGGAGATTCTGCTGCTGCTAATATTAGTAAAAGTCTATCATTCACATTGGGTTTCTGTTACCAGAAGAATTCAGAGAACCGCAGACCCTCCGAAACAAGACATCAGGGTGTCCACTGGGGGGAATTTAGGGATTACTTTTTTTTTTTATTTAACTTGCTCTCCTCTTTCCACGAGCGTGAAAACAGTGATTGTATTTCGCCATGACAATCCTGTGCCAATTTGGAAGGGCAAGGTCGAGTGGGCAGTCTTTCAGGGGTTTTTTTTTAAAGGCCGTCTTTCACTGCACATCAGTGCCGGATGGTTGGAAATGTGTGTTTAGACAGCTGGAGGCTACAAAAGAAGAGAGCAATAAGGCCTGTCAGGTGATTTATAAAACAATCAATATTATATAAAACACACAGTATTCATTCACACTTTTGGAAAAACGCTCTATCTATCACAAGATTAATCTGAGCAAAGTAATTTAAATTTCACACAGAGCAGGGAGAAAGCTGTCGTTTGCTTACGTTTTTTTTTAAAATTATTATTATGTTGTTGTTATCAAATGACAAAATAAAATTAATGAGAAAAATTAATTTCCCCCTAAAAATAATAACTGATTGTGCTTCTCTTGCGCACAAAAAATTTAGTAATGATAGCAATGAGTTTTTTACATCGATGTGGAGGAATTTTCTCATTCATCTTCACACAAAAGTTCTAATTCTGCCACTTGTAAGGTATTTTGACCCGTTTAAGGTCATCCTGTAACATCAAAAGCATTGACGCATGTTTTAAAGACAACAGATGCAAGTGAGTTTGAGGTTAAGGTTACAGCCTGATGGTCAAATATTCCTCTTTCCTTGCGCCTCTTTTAACGATTTTGTTGAACAACATGCTGTAAACGTGGCACAGCAGGCACACCAACACAGCACCACCTCTATATTGAAGTCTTTTTGAAATTGTCTTTTAGCTTTATGCCAGAAATAACAAAACACACACTTTCTGAAGAGCTCCACATTTGTTTCGACAGTCTACACCAGAATATTTCACCAAAAGGTTTGGGGATGATCTCTTGTTGAATTTCTTTTGACTAAATTCAAGCTGCCTTCCAGAAATCAGGCCTGGGTGTGACTCCTCAAATGGAACCAAATAATGTGGTTACTTAGTGTTCATTTGTGATTTAACAACCATTTTGACAGCACCCGAGTTATTTTTTCTCCTAATGTTAGCATTTGTTTAATGAGTTGAAAAGTTTTGCTAGAGACCTAAGGCTGGACCGTCACCCCGTTTTCTTCCTCCCTACCTTTCCAGCACCTTCCTGCCTATTACTGAGATGCTTTAGGTGCTTCCACAGTCAGGGTCTGTGATTAGTGTAATTTAAACAAACATCAGCAGGGAACACACCTGTTGCCCCCTGCATAGCCTGCAGAAGCAAACCCTCAGCAGGCTGACAGGCCTTTGCTAAGATAATCCAATTTGAGCACCAGCGTAGAACGAGGGGGTTTTGCATCCTCAATTTTCTCGTTCTCATGTCCATTCTCCTCATCCTCCCGGTGGCTCATTGTTGGACCGTTCAGTAATATTAATCAATCAGATTCCTCTCTTACATCTTCCTCTGCCTGCATATGAGCCCATATTTTGTTCAGGTTCAAGAATTGATTCTGCAACAAAGCCAGTGAAGATCCAGACACAGGCCAAACTGGGTGGGTTTAGAGGTGTGTGTGTGTGATCCCATTTGACTGTTGAGAGTTTATATCGCCGGCGATGACAAAGTGCTTTATGACTTGCCAGTGTTCGCTCGGCCCTGCAATTGAAGCCTTATACGGTCAAACCCCCTCCTCCAATGACCTTGACTTGTCAAATGTTCTCATTTTCACCCAGAAGGAGCCCCGGTGCTCAGCAGCCACTCAGTTGGTGAAACGCTGCTTTTAGAGATGAGCGTTACGATGTGATCTGCGCACACAAACACCTCCGGGAGAGTGCTGAGGAAATTGGGATGTGGCACAAAAAAAAAGGAAACACACAAACAAACAAAAAACACTTCTTGCCTTCAATCTACTTGTACAGGTTTTCATATAATCACAAATAAGAAGTGTCGGGTCTCTGTTTATGTTCCAAACACTGGGGTTTACTGGAATGAAAAACTGCAATTCTTGCAAAAATAAGGATTTACACTGTAGCAGCAAGAGAGTAATGAATACCTTTAATCCACAAATTCTCCAGTGTGACCAATTACAGCAATCAAAGTGAGGAATAGGATGCAGCTCCCCAAGACGCAAAGCTAAGATCCAGAAGGTGTAGGAGAAAAAGCTTTAGTTTTCTGCAGTCAAATTCAATCCGATTTTATTTTAAAGCTCTTTAAACAAAAAAGAGCTATACAATACAACAATGAGTATAATGGTAAAAAATAAAAAAAGAGAATAGAAATCAAAAATACTAAAATAAAACGAATTTAAGATAAAATGGAATCGACAACCATGAAATCACTTTAAAGGCACCAAAAGTAGTGAATAAATGAATCTTGAAAAATCTTTCTTTTTCGTGTCTGACGTTTATCAAGAGGTCATTCACCAACTCTGTCCTCTCTGAAGTAATCTCAGGATGAGCTGATTAGTAGGTCTCAGAGACCAGAAATATGTATTAGGGTGCAAAAGCTCGAAGATTTATGTTGAGTCAAGTCTTGTAAAAATGAAGAACAAAGTAACTTTAAAACAGATTCTAAAACCGATCGAGAAAAGCAAAACAAAGTTTAAAAATGTTCGAGATTAAAAGCTTCTATTACAAACTGGATATTTATGATAGTTTCTACACTTTATTGATAATGACAAGATCCATTTAGACACCTCACTTCTGAACAAATTGCTATATATAACATACAGCATAGATGGAGAAACATACATATCACAGGGGTGTCGTGTGGCGCAGCGGTTAGAGCAGGCGCCTCATACGGAGAGGCTACATATATGTGGAAGTCCCAAGTTCAACTCCTTTCTTCAGTTCCTTTGCAGCACTTCTCTCAACCTCCTTCTGTCGGATTACTGTCAAAATAAGAGGCACTAGTGCCAGAACAAAAAAAAAATCTAAAAAACCCCAACACATTATACAAAATTATTGCAAAATAAGTAAACTTAAAATAATTCTGCTCAAGTGCACGTTTTATTGTTTCCTTTAGTACCAAACAACATCATGTGTAATAATGCTGAAGTTATCCAAAAGTACTGCTGTACTGTAAAATGGTATAAAGAGTGCAAATGATAAAAACAATAAAAGTAACTAAAAAAAACAAAAACAAACTTAAATATATATATATTCCCCAAAATAAACCCGTTATTGAAATAACTGTCAGCATGCTCATTTAAAATAACAGCAAAAACTTACAAAGGTGATAAATATGCAAATGGCACAAAAAATTGAAATGCTGATGTTCATCGCTTCATCTTTACAACTCCTCCTCTGGTGGCTTCCACGGTTCTGAACACAGACAAAAACACAAGTCATCGATAAAGCTGTGTGAATAATAACCCATGGTAAATTTCTGTGCTGGAGACTGAAACAACGATGCCTAAAGAATATATAAAATATTGTATATACCTACATACACATATGTATAAAACGCTGGGAAAAAAAATTAAGAGACCACTACACTGAACCCCACTGAAAACCTCATGGTTTTTCCACCAAATATTGATTCCTGAACTCTTCCTGAGTTAAAACCTTAGTGTTGTTGTTTCTAAATGTATGAACTTGTGTTCTTTGCATTATTTTATTTTCTGGCTCATAAAATCAATTGTATCTTAACAACAATAATTTTAAAAATAAAAAAGTGACCCCCAGCTTGGCTTCTTAAAAAGAAATATAAGGAATTAAATATAGATTAAATATAAGTCAGTGCTCTGTAAGGCTCTTCAGAGGAACGGATCCAAAAGATCAGGCTCCCTTCAAAGGGATGACTTTAAGTATCTTGAAGTCTTGTTCACAAATTAGGGGAAAATGGAGTGGGAGATCAACAAGCATATCACATCACATAGTGATTTGCGCGCTGTATCGCTGTTTGTTGTGGTGATTTGGCAGTAGATGTCCACTCCAATCCTCATCTATGGATGCAGAAGCTCTCGGAAGGGACCGAAAGAACACAAGGAACTGAAGTGAGTTTCCACCACAGGGTGTCTGGGATCTCCCTTAGAAATAGGGTGAGAAGCTCAGTCATCCGGTAGGGACTCAATGCTCCCCCACATCAAAACAAGCCAGTTGAGGTGGCATCTGGTTGGGAACGCTCCTGGACGCCTCCCCGGTGAGGTGCTCCAGGAGGAAACCCAGAAGAATGGAGGAATTGGCCTGGGAATGTCCTGGGATTCTCCCAGAGGAACTCGCCCAAGCACATGGTGAGAGGGAAGTCTGGGTCTCCCTGCTAAGGTTGCTGCCTCCATGACCCGACCCAGAGATAAGTGGAAGAAAATCGATGGATGATACTTCATTTAAAAGCTAACACTACTGGACATATCATTACTTTAACAGAGTAACTTGTAAGCATAATTTAGTACACAGTGTACACAATAATGATTTGGATGCAGCATCAAATTGTTGCTGAACAAATTTTACACTCATAAAACATGTTTCATTTCTTTACGTTTCAAATCACATGCTTTACAAATGAAATAAATCAGACACTATTGTATCTCAGTTGGAGTTTTAATTAATATTCTATTCAATCATTTAAGCAATACTTGTGCTTTTATTCATATGTGCAAAAAACCTGCAGCCTTACCTGGTAGATGCTCATAAGGCATCTCCTCCTCCATTTTTTTCAGTTCTCCTTCTGACACATTAGCAACGAGAAAGACACCAAAACAGTCGCTCATGATATTGACAGCGGCATTGAGGCGATCTCTGACGAGACATAAAAAGGAAAGAGTTGTTTTAAAACCTTTTATATGTCTGACATCAGGTAAAAAAAAATACAATTTTGCTAAAAACTTACAGCAGCCATTCAATGGAGAGCAAAAGGGAGGCAGGTCTCACTGGAATCCCACTGATGGTCAAAATAAAGAGGGTGGTCATCATTCCTGTAGCGGGGATTCCTGCCTCTCCCAGAGTGGCCACTGCCACTGTCACACTGAAGAGAAAAGGTAGAGGAGATCACAAAGACAAACCACTCTGAAATTGTATAAATACATTGTTCTTATCAGCGTGTTGGGGGGAAACCCTGTAAAATCTGTAAAACCGATGCGGATGAATGGTCACAACTGAAAGTATCCTCAACAACGTGTTCTTTGCAGATAACACGATACTGTATTCAAGCAATAATGGGGTTAAAACCAAGCCCACATTCAATGATAGTCAGTATCTCAAAGATGAGGGCTGCACAGTGGCACAGTTAGCAGCACTGTTGCCTTGCAGCAAGAAGATCATGAGTTTGAATCCCCAAGCTCTTTTCTGCATGGAGTTTGCATCCTCTCCCTGTGCATGTGTGGGTTCTCTCCAGTTACTCTGGCTTCCTCATTTAGTTCGAAAACATTGATTGATCTCTAAATTCTCCCAGAGTGCGTGTTCATGATTGTTTGTCTCTCTGTGTTGCCCTGTGATGGACTGACGACCTGTTCATGGTGTACCCCGCCTCTCGCCCATTGACAGCTAGACATAGGCACTAGCACACCTGGTGACTCCACTTGGGCTAAGCGTGTCAGATTATGGATGGGGTTGAGATGATAGTCCCTGAAATGACAGCTCTAGAGTTGAACACATGGAGCCTTGAAAAAGCCAAATGGACCAAAATTTCAGAGGAAGGTGTCGGACACACGATTGAATATGTGGAGGACGGAATAGTAACTTACGCAATGCTGATGATCTTGCTCCAGTGCAACCTGGAGCCTGAGAGTTGAGCAATGAACAGGGCAGCAGCCATCTCATAAAGGACCGTTCCATCCATATTGGCGTGGATCCCAATGAGCAGCATGAAGCGAGTTATTCTTTTATTGATCCTCAGCCTATCTTCGCAACAACTGAATGTCTCTGATGCCGCATAACTTAAAGAGACACAAGCACAAGTTCTCTGCATTGGACATTTAGAAATTCCCCCAACGTTGCTGCAACTTCGGCATTTGACACACACACAAAATGTGAATTTTAATTAAAATGAAAAATCGCAGTGGAATTGTCCTACGAGCGTGAAACGAGCATCCCCCTGAGCAATGCAGGTGCAATCCCTGGAAAGATCGGGTAGGGGTTCCTTCTCATGCACAAGAAGCAGATGAGTGGCAACACCAAAAAACCATGGATGAGAAGTCTATTAGACAGTATGTCAGTTTTAGTTACACTGAACAAAATGAGTGAGAAACCAGCTGATGGCAGAGAACCTACCCAGTAATAATTACGGTGATGAACTTGCCAAGGCTAACAACAGTCTGCCAGTCGTCTGCAATGGTATGAACATAGCTTGCCATCATGAACATCACTGCAATGGGAAAATAGCTAGAAGGTCACAAAACAAAAAGAGAAAATCCTAATTCGGACCAATCACAATTTTCTTTGAACCTCAAATCCTTTGGTAAATTTAGTCTGCCCAAAACCTGTAATAAACAACAAAAGATGCTGTATTCACTTACATCATTATTATTTTCACCAAACTTTTGGAGACAATGTTGACGGTGTTGATGACCTCCAGAAAAGTTCCGCCCACAGCTCCAATCTTCCTAATGCTCTTCCCAATGAAAACTGACACCACTATCAATCCGAGCATGTTAACTCCTCGCATGTTTTCGCCTACTAACTGCACGTCTATAGTTTCCTATAAGAGAAGAAACTCAGTAAAAGCATACAGCTAGATGCCAACTTAGTGCCTCAATATTGCAGAAAAACTGTTTTTCACCGGAACGGTATTGTTGGTCGTCTGTGAATTTATGTACACCTTCCTAGTCTTGTACTAAAACCAAACAGAGTTAAGTCATGAATATTTGGTAATCTGCTTAATGGAGCCTTCTAATTTCATAAGTGATGAGACACACCTGTTTGTAGCTCAGCAGAATCAGATTGTGTGGAATGAGGTTTCTACACAGCAGAGCGACAAAAACATAACTTTCAGTCCACTTTAAACATGTTTTCATGCAAACGGCAAGAGACAGTCAGTATGTTCTAAATAATTGATGTATAAGAGGCTATTATGAAAAAAATATATATCACAAATAAATAAAAGTGACATTTTTTTGTTAGTAAGAATCAGGTGACACACTTAGAATTTGCTTTCACCTTATTAGATCAGACAGGGCATCAATGGTGTCGTAGGCATCATCAGACTCAGAAATTTCATCTGATTTTTCGGGATTTGCAGTCAGCCCTGGTTTAATCAGCATTGTCAGTGTGATTCCTATGAGACATGATACAGAACAAAAGCTAAAGATGTTCAGTAAGAGTAAAAGGACACTTAGGGCTTAATAAAGTCCATTTTTATCGAGCTACAGTGTCCATCTTTACGTAACAGAATTCCTAAGGGTTTTATAACAGAGAATGGCCACTTGAGAATTACTGTTTCAACAATTTACAACCTCTTCTAGCCAGCAATATCACTGTATTACTTTATTACTGGAGCAAAAGAAACCCAAGTATCTATCTATTCATCTATCTCTCTGTCAGTCTGTCCATCCATCTTTCAAGGACTATTTGAATAATCAATTCATCACAATAATTGAAATAATGGTAATCACTAATTTAGTAATCGATTAATTGCTATTTAGAGTCAATGGGCTCAAATTTATTTGCTGAAAAAACAACATATTCAGAGAATTAATTAAGCCAAAACTGTACAAAAATTGTATACGTTTTGCATTTAATGCAAAAAAAAAAAATAAAAAAATAAAATAAAGGGAACACTCAAACAATACAATATAACTCCAAGTAAATCAAACTTCTGTGAAATCAAACTGTCCACATAGAAAGCAACACTGATTGACAATCAATATCACCTGCTGTTGTGCAAATGGAATAGACAACAGGTGGAAATTATTTTCATATTTTTGACGTCGATGGTCCAACTAGTTCAGCTTCACAAGACAAAATGTCTTTCATCTTTTAAATCAGTGGGGGACACTGATTTAAAAGTGTCCCCCACTTTTAAATCAGTGCTTCTTGAAAGCATTATTCAGTAGTCTTGAATAATGCTTTCAAGACTACTGTAGTTCCATGCAGTCTTGAAAGCATTATTTTCTTGTCCATGACTTGGATGAAAACACAGATGACCTGATTAGTTCTGATTTGAATTTCTGGTGATGAAATAAGATATTTAGGATTTGACCTAGTCTTATATAGAGGATGGGAAGAGGTGGGTTCGTAAAGAACTATTAAATTAGCTTAACTGCACACTAATGCCATGCCACCTCCTTTTATTGTTAGTGATAAGTGAAGTTTTCAAACAGCCTCTGCAAGAACTCTAACACATCGTATTACAAACTTCGCTATTCTGTGAGGGTGATCAAATGTCCTTTTAAAATGGCCCTAATTAGTACTTTTTTGGATTTTCTGAAGTTCATCTTTGGCTGCTTCTTACTCTTTTTCTGATTTAACATAAAAGTATTTTATTTTCTTGACCCATAAATCATCAATGGAAAGATGAATCAGCAATAATCAATAACTTTAACCCTCCGGAGGTCTTAGCACGTTGCTCAGGAGGAGCGCAACAAATGTCACAGTCAAATAGCACGGAATCTTCCAAAACCACACACATAAAAAATTGTAAAAGTGCACATGAGGTCAGTACAACCCCACTGGGTCGCGCACAGACTTAAACACTTGTTGGGTCTAACTGACCTGTCTCTTAAGTCCGCGGGATGGTTAAGAAACAGAACATATTATTTCATCCCCAAAGACCAATTAGCTGAACACAGAGCACACAGAAAATGATCAACTAATGGTTGATCCCCACTCTTATGTCCCATGTCAGGTCTGTGCTGGATTCTTCCACTCCCCCCTTTTTCTTTTCCGAAAGACATCAGGTACATCGACCATAAGGGAACGCATTTTACGTACAGAACAGGTTGTGGTAAGGCAGATTTTGATAGTATAAAAAATTCACCTTAACCTATTCTGTCTGTGATTTGTCTAACATCTTAACCTCCAGTAAACCTCTGTTGCAAGCTCTTGGTCTATTCAGGAACCACCTACTGTTGCAATTGTTTGCACACTATGTTGTATTAATATTTTCTGGGTTAAAAAAAAAGATGTTAAGAGATCTGGTGAGCCACTGAAAGAGCACTTTTTTCTTAATATTGTCAACTTTTATCTCAGCCTTTTTCTATTCTCCATGTTCTTGTTTTCTTAGTTATTCACACCAGAAAAATGTTATAATCAGTGCCAAACTTTTTCAGACTGCATAAATCAGTAAAATAACATCTCTTCATAGGGGAATTTGGTGGGGAAGAGCAGGGTAGTTTAGGTATAGGAAATAATGGAAAAAGCTAATGGCTGGCTGTTTGCAATGTATACTCAACCCACCCAAAAGTTAGGGTTAGGCTCAACAGAGCCCGGTCGTTGGAGTTGAAATCTAGACAGCACTGCATATGCAGTGAAAAAACAAATGTTCCGTTAAGAAATGACAAAATTCATGTTGATAAGCAAGATTTCTCTTACCTATCAGCAAAGATATTATTGTTGTAAAGACAAAGTATGTTAATGCACATCGAGTGATCTTTTTGGAGGGACTGAGAGTGGCACCTGCAATTCCTGTGGAAACAACAAAAACAGGGGTTGAGAAAGATTAACAATAAAATAATTTGCAATAGGTAAACATGTTGTTGTAACATGAAGGTAGCTATGGAGAACATTATTGATGTTAATCCTTCATGTAAATTTAAGGTAATCCTTCGGTTCTTACATTCTAAAAAGTCCATAACAAAAACCTGTCTTAAGTAGTGTAGAGAAGGTTAAATGACTCAAAATAAACACATTACAAATATAGATTAAACACATTCTGCTTTCTCATGTTGAAAGCAGTACAATATGTGAATGAGGCAATTTAGTCTTCATGAATTGGAGATAATATTGACAAAACTAACAGGAGAGATCAAAATGGATATGCAGCAGATTAAAAAGGCATTTTTACATACATATTCCCCCTAAAACTTTGCCAAGCCCGGTGGTTGGAGCACCAGATAGGTCCACCACCGGGTCACTGTGTTTTTTTGTATTAAAAAATGTTATGTTTACAGGTGCACATCTTTTAAGTGCTTATTAAGTCATCAGCCACAGGATCTTAAAACAGCTCCATATAATGGTGACATTTGGCACCCAAGGTACAAATGAACAAAGCAGATGCTTTGTTCATTTAGGGCTCCCATAATTTAAACAAAGACTGATCTAGAATTTCAAAATTTGTTTACCAACGTTGAGAATGTCAACGTTAGTAAATTTGATTTAATGGTTTTAGCATAGACAAATTAAAAATTGTGTAACATTTAAATTTAAGATTTTAACGAGCTGGCAAGTTTACATTGTCAAAGTGTAAAAAACGATCTTCATAGTCAAACTGTTTTATTACCATAGCTACGATCTCATGCTGAGTTTTATATTTGAGTTTGAGCTGAAAAAAGTATATTCATGAATGTATATTTGTTATCTCAGCAGGCTGTTGTCAGTAATTATGACAATAGTTTATTTTAAATGTCTCCAGGTTTCAATCGAAATATTCTGTTGTATTTTTTCGTTATAATAAAATCTCAGGTACTTCTTGACAGTAAAATGCAGTAAATTCTGTTTAACAATAGCAAGGTGCACACAAAATGGAAAGAAAAAATAAATGCTGCAAGAATAATTCAGAAGCCTTTGCTGTATTTTGGAGTCAACTTAGTCAATTATTACACTCTATTTTGGAAACTTAGCCTTTAAAACTTTTGGTGACAACTGATTGCCTTACAGAGCTCTCTTGTAACTTACCGAGTATCACATTTGTCATCAGCAGAGGGACAGTAACAAACTGCATCAGCCGGAAAAGAAATTCTCCGGGAATGCGAAGCCAAGCTCTCTCGTACAATGTTAGAGTTGTAAAGGTCTTCAAAACCAAGCCAATAGCAACACCTTCAAAAGAGCAAAAGGCGTTTTGGTATATACACATACACAGTTGAGGTCAAAATTATTAGCCCCCTGATGAAATTTTCATTCTTTTTTTCAAAAATTTCTCAAGTGCTGTTAAGCAGATCAATGATTTTTCAACTCAGCAGTTCCAAACATCCTACTCTTTCTTTTGGATGCTTACACAGAATTACTTTTCACCAAATTCTTTCACAAAACCAAAATCTAGCAAAGTTATTAGCTCCTCTGATGCCATTAATCAATGACATATCAATTTTGCTGGATAACAACATGCAGTTCTTTTACTGTAGTTTGTAATAAGTCTTTGGCAAATATGTCATGCTACTGGAGATTTGATGGTCTTCTCACAAAGACCCCGGTCTTCAATGTACCCCACAGACTTTCAATGGAATTCAAGTCTGAGCTTTGTACAAGCCTGTAAATAATATTCAAAAGGATAGATAGTAAGGCGCACTGGAAAATGTTAATAGCCAAACAGTATGTTTAATCACTTAAAGCAAGGGCAGCTACATGGATTAGTTTCCATTTACTTCACGTAGTAGATGTTTGATAAATGTCACATTTCAATTATCTTTGCATTCCACTAAATATTTGTAATCAGTCAATGATCAACTGTAGTGTGATCATATATTTTCATAATCTATTCCTGTCATGAAATTTGTCCACCTTAAAAGAGCGAATTTACTCTTCATAAATTGGGTGCAATGTTATTATTCAGTCGAGTCTTAAACAAAGACAATAAAATATTTAAGGAGCCTGGCAGGATTTGCACACGGTTGCTACATGTGCATTTTGTGCAAGTATTTAGCCAACATTTGACTTTCCCTCTTCGCGAATAACACAAATAACTGGTTTTAATGTTTTACTCATCAGCTTCCGCTCAAATGACACAAACTGACTTAAATGAAGGCACCAAATTCATCGTGACGCGATCGCGCTCTGTCCAGTGCGCGAGCCTTGCTTTCTGAACTGAATTTGTGATTTAAATTGCCTTTCCGAAACCATAATCCACTCGGATGGAACGACATTCTTCGAAGTGCAAACACAGCCAGGCACACGGCTGCTAGATTTAAAATAAGTAAATAAACATCACTCCGTTGCCTTGACAACAAAGTATGGAGTTCAGCTTGAGCCAACAAACGGCTCTCCCAACGTTAGTTTCTGTTGAGGCTAGTCGTGCCTAGCTTGAACTCTTCAGCTAAAAAAAAAAAAAAGCCTATAAACGCTTTATTTTTACTTAGAACGTGTCATAAGCATCCAACACACACACAAAAATGAAAAACCAGAGATACATTTTGAAGTTAAGCATGTTGTCATAGCAGAACACTGTTGTCAACAGCGCATAGATTCATATATGTTTTGGCTTTTTTTTTTTTTTCATGTTGCACAGAATAAACACAAACTTACCCACAACAACAGCCGATAGAGTCACAAATGTCAACGCATTCCGTGTGTTAAAACAACTCCGAATACACCTCCTGCACCAGTCTCTGGTAGACATTTCTTCAGCGGTCCAACAGATTTCATTGACATTAGCAAGTTAGCATCCACCGCTAGCCTACGACTGGTTTGCCCTCGCAGATTACAAAAAGCAAATCAGTCAAATACCACTAAAGACGACACTTGAGAAGCAGAAACGAGGCAAATACGAACTTACTGCGGTGAATGAAGTTCAGTGGAGCACGATGACTAAGCAGTTGACTAACAGCTTTTAGTTATTCCTTATTCAGTTTAAAAAAAAGAGCCTCGATAATTCTAAATGATGCACCTTTTTTAAACCCAAACACTTAACAGAAAAGTGTTTGGGTTTTAGACTTTTGCGCCAGCAGATCAACAGCGCAAAAGTCTGGAGTCTGCTCATGCTTCCAGTTGAGGCCAACTTCATGGGAGTTGGCTTGAGACTGTTGGCTTTCTGTCTCAAGTTAAAACCTTGTACTTATTCAATTCTTTCGAGATTTTTGTTGATCTAATTTGACATCTATTCTAATCTGATAACTACTTTCCCAAAATTGTTTTGGTCTCCTCGTTTGTGAACTAATTTATTTGATTGCACTTAGTTAGATTTTTTTTCCAACTTGTCTGTGTTTTTGTTTGTTTTTGTTTTATTTTGTGGTTCATATCCTCAAAAAAGTTATATATATTTATCAACACATTACTATTTGTTTATTATGTAATTATAGGCACGCTTATGTTTCTGTGTGTGCTCCGGTGGCCAAGCGATGATATTTCATTGCCAATTTTACTTATGTTTCTTTGAGCAATGACAATAAAGTAAGTCTAAGTCTAAATGTCTTGAAAATTTTGAATGAAGTATCATAATAATAATTTAAGTAAAAATTAATACAGAACTGTTTGTCAGTGAAACATATGTGATTATATGCACTTATACGATTACAAGAGTATATACACTTAATACTTAGTCGATGTTGCTTTTTGCATGAATTACTGCATCGGAGCAGCATGGCATAGGGGACCGATTGGCCTTTGGTTTTGTTGAGTTGCTAAGGAAGATCAGATTGCTTTGTCCTTCAGTTCATCTGCATTGTTGGGTCTGGTGTGTTGCAGTTAGATCGGAAACTGCATCTATATTGATAGATGCAGTTTCTATTAAAATAGAAAAGCAGATAAATGATAGAGCATTTATCTGCTTAAATGCTCTGTCATTTAAACAGATACAAATACATTAGGTGGTACAGGTAGGTGCTGGAAAGTGTAAGTCTTGACAGCGGAGGGAATCTGTGGAGCTCTTAATTTATTCTAGTAGATTCCTGCCTTGAGTTTGGTCTTGATAAAAACACAGTAAACCATCACCAGCAAACAACATGGCTCCTCAGATTATCGTAGACTGTGGAAAGTTCACCCTTGACCTGAAGCAAGTTTAATCCATTGGTCCTCTTTATTTTTTCTGCAGACCTTTGTACCTTCATTCATACAAAATGAAACGCCACACTTTTAACACAAGTAATATGCTTCTGGTCAGGAGTTGCTTAACAGGGCAGTAATATGTATTTTCCAAGCATATTGCGCTATAAAATTGCGCAAAAAAAAAAAAAAGGTAACAAACACTACCTGGAGTTTTGCCTTGAATCAAGGCAAAACTGAATCATGTTTGAGAAATGCTTTCATCTGCCATGGCAACCATTCGGCTGTGAAAAATGCCTGGGAGGACCTAGCTCCGCCTTGGAAACTCAGCTCCTCCTCTAGGAAAAAAGTTCCCACTGTTAACAGAAGAGAGACGAGGCCATGACTTCCTGAAGGCCGAGTTTCAGAAAGAGCAGGCGTTTTTAAAGTGATAGAGGCCCCTTTTCAAGGCTTTGATTTATAAAGTCAAATTTCTTTAAGTCATATTTGATGTAGCATTTTTTAGCAACTGAAGTTAACATAGTTACTTGATAAAATGGCACTTTGTGTTTGGAAAACACATAATAATATTGCCCCTTTAATGCCTTAGAATTGGACTGTCTTTTTAAAGAAGCTCTTGTTCTTCCGACACTCCGCCTTCAGCTTGTCATCAGAAACAATGTTAATTTAGGTTGAGCGCCCCAACAAATATTGGATTTTAATTTTCTTCACAATCCTCCAAAGTGGTGGTTCTCCCTGACGGCTTTATTCTTTTTTCCACTACAGTTTGTTAGTTTCCCATTCACATGATTGGATTTAGCAGTCTGGAAAAAACAGTTTCTTTACCAATCACTTTTTGTGGCTAACCCTTCTTGAGGAAGTCACTGAGAGCCTGGTAAATCAGTCTGTCTTTCCCATGATTGTCTAAGCCATTAAATAGTCATAACATGAAAATTCAATATTAATATCCATCCGTCCGTCCATTATCTAACACGCTCATTCTTGTGCCCATCTCCAGTGGTTAACGGGCGAGAGGCGGGGTACACACTGGGCAGGTCGCCTGTCCATCACAAAGCTCTGTTTTAAAACACATTTTATATTGGTCCTTTGTGAAATTCTGGCTTTCAGGGAAACTGGATTTTGGGCTTTATTCGCTGTAAGGTATCAAAGTTAAAAGAAATTCCCTAGAATTATCACTCTGAGGGAATATGTACTTCACTTTCAGATTTAAATGAATTAAATGACCTCCGGTTACAGTTTTATGTAAGTTGTTAAAACGCACCTGTAATCCTTCCTAAACCCGTTCATGTTTCAGGGTTCAGTCTCGGAAAGCTAAGAATGACTACTGATGAAAAATTCTGCCTTTTCAACTGATGATTTCACTCCTTGTACAATGATTGGACTAAAAATGATAGTAATAATATCAGTCAAAAACCAAAACATTTTGATGTCTACATTTTGTTTTGATGTTCACTTTTGTCTCACTCATATTCTAAGTATGATCGTGCTATAAGTATATTTGAAATACAAGTAAGTTAAAAGGAAAAATTCTTTGTATATTGGTATCTCCACAAGTTAGTTGAAAAAAAAATTGCCACAATGCATACCCAGGCTATACTTCTGTCTAATATAAAAAAAAACTGGCCAGTTTGTTGAATCCTAACCTTTACTTTAACTTTATTGCAAGACAGCTCCTCGAGCTATGAGAAAGTTTAGAATCCACTTCAGAAGGACCAAATATCCTCATTTACGGTGATGTGAAAACATAAAAACTGGGACAGGATTACCAACTGAGGTCCAAGATTTGTTCTGGCTGGAGCAGAGAAGTTGTCCAGGGTGCAGAGGGAGCCGCCATTGTCCTCTAACTGCTCCTGCTGCTGCTAAGGGCTAACAACTCCTGCATTGATCCAAGGAGACACTCAGGCCTCTAACCTGCTGAGTGCTCAGTTCCAGTGAACAATGGAGTTCAGAGCGTGTCAATACACCATCCTATTGAGTGCTCTCCGTTTAGCAGCAAGATTGATGAGGTTAAGGCTCCCAGCTGGGGAGTCAAATGGTGTCAAAACCAAGGTGTTGCTTTGGATAAACAGGCCCTCTCTCTACCACCACCACCACGCTGAGAACAGCTGGCACGAGGAATCAAATTTAAATTCACACTGGGTTAACGACAAGGTATGCAAACTGTGGTGGGTGTTGTTTGGACTCTTCAAAATGCAGATGAGAATATGAGGCTGGGATAGATGATGCTTTGCACACAGGAATGCACTGCAAATCCCCCAAGACACTAAATGATGTACAAGTGGATTTATTACAGTAGGTCCCTATAAATCTAAGGTTGGCCTGAACTCCAGGGAGAGGTTAATGGATTACAAAGGGATGTGGTATCGAACCTTAGAGAAGTTTATACACCTCATCAATATGTGAAATGCTATTGATCATCCAGACTTTGATAAATGAAATTTATAAACTTGACAAAGCATGGCAATACCTTTAATGAGAAAAAGGAAAGTTTCCTTTTGACCTGGGCACCGAAAATTTACTTATAGTAAAAGTTACAAAGTCACGAGTCCAAATAGAGATTTTCTTCCCATACATGATGCTGGTCTTGATCCATAAACAAATGTTCATGTGCATGCTGTGGTTCCATTACCTAATTATAAAGAAAACATTGATGTTGGTGCAGCGCTCGTTATACAAAGTTTCTTCAAAGTGTCACTGTAAACACTGATGTCTGTGCTCAGGAAGGATCTCCTTAAGCGGCCAGTGTTACAACGGTGTAAGGAAGAATCTTACTGACAACATTTTGATTTTCATTTTATGGAGCTTATTTGTACAATCATCTCAAATGGTGTTTGACATCTTTTTGTTTCATCTAAAATCTAAAGTTGTTTTGTTAATCTAATTTGACTGATTTGGACCACATATGATTTGGTATAACTTTAAATATATGAAATCATAACTGCAAATTCAATTTAAATGTTGAACCTTAAATGGGGAAAAAAAAGCTTTACTGAGCTTCCCAGCAGAAAAATAACAAAAATAAAAACATTTACATTTAAACATCAACATTTTTGAACGTAGTATTTGCATGACAGGAAGCAGGAGGCATGTACTGTTGATCAGCCTACAGGAATAAACAAAGGTTCAAACATTCGATCTCACGGCACTTCACTTAGTCACTTCTGCCAAGAAAGCTGAGATAATGGTGGAAGTCCCTGCTTGTCATGGTTTCAGACCACTCAGCAGAGGATGATTCAAGGTTTTACAGTCAACACACACATCCAGCAACTCATGCTGGTGTTCTCATCTGTAGCTGAAGTTGCATTTTTTTTCTTTCTCTTTTTTTGCAAAAGACATACAATACAGCATCCTGCAAATGTATAAACAGCCCTAGAACTTTTCCACACTTTGATGTTGCAAAAATAGTGCAACAGTTGCACATTTTTTTTTCCCAAATCAAAAGCTGAAAGGCATGACATATATTATATAATTAGTGACTCTTACTAATAACCCAAATTAAAATTCAGTCCCCCTTGCAAAGGTGAGTGGAGTCTGTCAAAAAGGACCATTTTTTTTTGATGCAGGTGAAACCATAATAGAACTTTTAGCCTACAAGCAGAACAATGTGTGAAGGAAAACCATTGTTGGAAATCACCTTGAAAAAAAAAAAAAAACCCTCCTCACCATAAAGCATGGTGGTGGAAGGATCATATTGTGGGGATGTTTTTCTGCAGCAGGTATATCAGAGCTGAAGATGAATACTGGAAGAAAATGACTGTGGCTCTATCACCTACATCCAAAAATTTCAAAAAACGTTTGTGGTTGAAATGTGACAAAAAACAGTTTCAAGGTGTGACTACTTACACAAAAAGCCTTTGTATAAATATGACAACTATGACATTATCAAAACCATATGACATATTTTAAAAGAATGTCAATTCATTTCAAGTACT